CGATATTCGGTATTTTGATGATTTTACCCACATTTTTCAACGGAATTGTTTGAAAATCCACACAAGGAGTTCCTTGTGGGTACTTTATACCTCGGCAGAGAATTATCTATATAGGTTCACAATGTCCTATAGCCCCCATATAAGGGTACCCACAAGGTATTCGGTATTTTGGTGATTTTAGCCACATTTTTCAATGGAATTGTCTGAAATTCCACAAGAGGAGTCCCTTTTGGCATTTTACCCCCTCAAAAAGAATTGTCTATATAGGTCCCCGATATCGTATATCCCCCATATAACTGTACCCCCCGATATTCGGTATTTTGATGATTTTAGCCACATTTTTCAATGCAATTGTCTGAAAATCCACACAAAGAGTTCCTTGTGGGTACTTTACACGCAGACATAGATTTGTCTTTATAGGTCCACAATATCGTACATCCCCCCATATATCGGCACCTTCCTATATTAGATATTTTAAAGATTTTAAAAGAATTTTTATAGGATGTAATTTTTTTGAAAATTTTCTAATTCGTTCCAAATGGTGGAGGGTATTCAAAGTTCGGCCCGGCCGAACTTACTGCTTTTTTACTTGTTATCATATGATTAGTGAAAATTTAAACTTTATGAAAAATGATTCAGCCTTTTTAAAAACCCGTAGTGGATTTTCTTGCCTCACCTTCAGTTTATTAATGAAAAATTGTTATTAATTGGTTTGATCAAACTTAAGACAATGAGAGAGATTTGAGAGGAACAGCGTAATGAAGACTTTTTTCACATCAGCTAATAATTTTTTTAATATATATAAGGTTTTCGTCTATTTCAGATATGAAGGCTAAATTGCCCATACATTTTTTATATATTTTTTTATTATTATTCTTATTCTCTTTCATAAAAATGTGTCGCTTTTTGTTTTCAGATTTGAAACGGTTTTCCATCAAACCGTTTTCCATTAGGAAACCCCGTTATATAATATAGGAGTTATGTTCATAAAATTATACAGAACACTCTCTCTGCAGAGAGGATTCTCAAAATATCTAAAATTGTGAATTTGCCGATATGTATGGTGAATACATAATAGTGGGCCTATTTTCACAAAAATTAGGGAGAGATTCTGTCAATTTAAAACTCCAAATGCCAAAAAATTGTGGTGGAAAACTTCATAATACCGAAAATATGGGGCCCATACTGAATACTGGAGCAATCGATGTTTAATATAAATTTTCTAATTTTTTTTACATAAAAGTAATGGTCTATTTCAACAGCTAAATACTTTCGATTATTAGGCTTCTTCTCAGCCCTAAACTCTGGCCCCATTGAAAATTCATTTGGTCTATAATTGTAAACTCTAGAGCAACTGCAATTTCTAGAAATAGAAATATCCATATATATTTTGAGGTGTTACATAATTGTTGGACCAATCAAACTCCCCAATGCATAGTTGATTTTTGCAAATTTTTTCAATATCGTCAAGGGGAAATCGGCTATCGCAGTAAAAAGTTTTACATTTTTGCAGTTCTGGAGCATTTAAATATTTAAATATAAACTCAGACGTATCATAGACTTGTAAGCCATATAAATACCTGAAAGTATTTTGACCAATCTTGCCCAACATACTTTTGAGTTAAACTGACAGCATGATTATTGAAATGTAGTTACTTGCAACTACCAAATATTGGTAAGTACACTCATTATTTGGTAGTGAGTTTTCCTTTTTTGTGGCTGAATGAAATTACAGTTATTGCCTTACATTGACTCCTTATGAACACGACAACTAACATCACACAAATATAAAACACTGGACCACAGTGTGATGTAGGCTATAAAAATAAATTGGCTACGCCAAAAATAGCATCCAAATAAACAATAATGTATAATACAAAAATTCGTTGCTTTTATTAAATTAATAAATTTGTTTACGCAACATTGATAAATATATGCATGTTCAAGAAATGTTTGCCAGATATGACCAATGCATATATACATGAGTTTTGATTTAAAAATCTCGCATTGCAATGTCGCATCGTAAATAAAATTGACTTTACTTATATGGTAAGCAATAATCGTAAAATCGGATGAAGATGTATATCGAAGCTATATAAAAATTTGGCAGAGGTATTTTCGAGCTGTATCTGATATCTGGTACCAAATTTAACTCTTGTTGACTGCATATTACGAATGTGAGGGACTTAACCACCAAAGCGGATGAAAAATATATATGGGAGCTAAAGCGATTATCACCAAATTCGGAGTGCTTACGCCAAGGTTGAATTCGGTACGTGCCAAAATTTAGTCCATTTGGACTGATATTAGACCTGATATTAGCCATTTGATGCACAATAAACCATATATCGGATAAAAATATATATGGGAGCTATGTCCAAATCAGATCCGATCTCGATAAAATTTTACAGAGGAATTTCTGGGCTGTATCTGTTATCTGGTAAGAAATATCATTCTTGTGGAGTGCTTACTAAAGTGAGGGACTTAATCCCTAAAGTGGATGAAACATATCTATGGGAGCTATAGCTTTATCTGAACCGTTTCCCACCAAATTTGAAGTTCATGTTTCTAGGTAGAATTCTGTCGGATGTGCCAAAATACCTGCTTCTACACTGCATTGGGCAGTACGTGCCAAAATTCACTTTGTTTCGGCTGATTTTAGCCATTTGGTCCACAATTAACATGAAATCCGATAAAAATATATATATATATATATATATATATATACAGGGTGAGATGAAAAAACTGCAACCAATTTGGTGAGAATTTTCCAGAAAGAAAGTTATTCGTGATGGAATTCAAGCGTGATAGTGTGATTTCTTTATATTTGGCAGGAAAACCACAAGTGGGTATCGTTAGATCACTCCAGCAAATGGTGATACAGGTAGCGTAGCCCGACGTCAAGGAAGTGGGCGGAAGAAAACAGCAATATCAGCAGAAATGGTTCGAAAAATAAAGAAACGACTTGATTGAAACCCGCGTCGCAGTGGCCGAAAAATGGCTCGTGAGCTGAACATATCGCAATATTCCATTCGGCAAGTATTGAAAAATGAGTTCGGGGTAAAGCCATTAAAGTTCCAAAAAGTGCAATAACTTATACCGCAACAGAAAGAAAATAGACTCAAAAGAGCTAAAGAGTTGCTTCGCTTGGCCGAAAGTGGTGAACAGCGGAATTTGGTTTTCTCCGTTGAGAAAACATTCGTTGTCCAGCAGTTTGTAAACAAACAAAATGATCGGTTGGCCACCAGAACTCAAGCGCCGGTCTTGGTGAAGGTGTGCCACAACAGCCGATGGTCGCTCTCCGCTCGTATTAATCGACGTTGGCATTAGAATAAATGCCCAATAGTATAGCAAAAATATTCTGGAGGGTGTATTAAAACCTTGGCCACGCAAACTTTTTGGCCGCAGACTTTGATATTCCAATAGGACTCAGCACCATCGCATTTAGCACGCGCCACCAAAGAATGGTTACAAAATAAGGTTCCTCGCTTCATTTTCAGCGCACAATGACCACCAAAATCTCCGGATACCAATCCGTTGGACTATTGTGTCTGGAGTATTTTGGAAAGCAAGGTTGGCACTAAAAAATACCAAAGTGTCGATCACCTGAAGCAAGCACTTCGCCGGAAATGGGCCAAAATACCGCCGGGCACCATTCGGCCAGCATGTGACTGTTTCATTGGCCTTTTGAAGGGCATAATTCGTGCCAAAGGTGACCAATTCGAACAAATCTAAACTTATTCCAAAATTTGATACTATTTCCGACATTTTTTGCTTTCATTCAATAAAATTAAAAAAAAAAAATGTAAAAATGTTTGCGTTGCCGTTTTTTTATCTCACCTTGTATACTGCATGGTATGACTTCGATAAGGATTATATAAAAAATTGGAGGAATATATTAGAGCAATAGATACCGAACCGAATGCCACCAAATTGTAAAATTCGGTTGAATATGAAAAAATCCATTCAATTCGGGCTGATTTTACTTATATGGTGAGCAATAACCGTAAAATCGAATGAAGATGTATATCGAATCTATATAAAAATCTGATCCGATATCTGGTACAAAATATGACTCTTGTTGGCTGCATATTACGAGTGAGAGGGACTTAAAGCTCCAAATCGGATGAAACATTTATATGGGAGATATAGATATATCTGAACCGATTTTTACCAAATTTTAAATATTTGTTTTTAGGCAGATTTTAGTCAGGTATTCTAAAATGCATCCTAGTTGGACGAATATTTCACTTTTGGTGCACAATTATCCGACGAAGATATATATGGGAGCTATATTAAAAATATTCGCAATTTAATGGAAAATTTCACTTTTATTTAACACAAATGTTATGGTCTATTTCGCCCAGTAAATATTACCCGATGACCATAAAAATTTGAAGGCTTCTGCCCAGCCCTGAGCTCTAGCCCTATGCCAACTTCCGCTTCGATTGGTCTATAATTGCTATAATTAGGACATTTTTCAATATGATGCTATCATGGTTTTAGCCCCACCTACATTCTAAATTTCGTGAAAATCGGGCCATAATTGCGACCTGTAGAGTGATTATAAATTAACATGAACAGACGGACGGACATACATAGCTAGTTCTACTCAGCTCGGCGAGATAGGAAGATTCATATATACATTCCTATGTGGGAAACCAATATTTCGAGGTGTTACATAATTGTTGGCCCAATCAAACTTGAAATACCCCAACACATAATGTGTAAGGTATAAATATTTATTGAAGCCTGAGTTTCATCAAATGGTAAAATTCGGTTGAATATGAAAAAATCTATTCAATTTGTACTGATATTACTTATATGGTGAGCAATAACCATAAAATCGGACAAAGATGTATATCGAAGCTATATATTAAAATCTGAATCGATATCGATAAAATTGGTAGAAAATTAAGAAGAACAACTTACAAGTAATGTAACTATTTTTTAATATCTAACAACTAAATAAACCTTCTCACCCTACAAATACACTTAAATTATTTTAGCAATTATTTTATTGTTGTATAGATTATTTTAATTTTTCAAAATCAAGCCAAATACCGCCATCAAGACGTAACATAAAATAAGTTGGGTCAGCCTTATTGTCGTTACGCGTCTTTGGATTTATGTGAATCTCATAATTTCGAACTAACTCGACCAGGGCTGTTTTTAACTGGGCCAAAGCAAAACGCATGCCTGCAAATGTTTGAAAAAAAATAACTAAATGTTTTTCTTTTAAAATCTATGAAAAAATCCGCATACCCAAACAAATCCGCGGACCATCGCCAAATCCAAGGAATAGACCCTGCTCCTTATATCTTTTAAGACCACCGTTAAGAAAACGTTCCGGTTGAAAACAATGTGGCTTCTCATAATGATCTTCATCTGTCATAATGGCCAGGGTGGGTATAACAACAGATGTTCCCACATCTAAACTTAACTTAGTTCCATTCGAGTTTTCCAATTCCGCGGCTTCAGTGCATGTCTTCAAATTGAAACTTACCGGAGGGAATAAGCGAAGGCTCTCTAAAGTTCGAAATATTTTATCAAAGCAATTTTTCTATATTCTTTAGATATTATCATGAATACATGCATCGAGATAAGGCAAGTCCATGATTTTATCAAAGTCATTGACATTGCCTAGTTTGTCCTTTATTTCTTGCCTTAAGATATTTTGACGTTTCGAATCACGACCCAACTGAAAATAAAGATTTTAATTAACAAGTAAAACATCTGTAAGTTCGGTTCGGTGAATACCCTCCACCATTTGGAACGAATTTGGCAATTCTCAAAAATCATCAAAATACCGAATATCGTGAGGTACCGTTATAAGGGGACTATACGAAGACGTGAACCTGCACAGACAATTTTCTGTCTTAGGCTGTTGCATCCATTACGAATTTTAAATATGAAATTTGAAACAATTCCGGCGTATAATGTCGCTAAAATCATCAAAATACCGAACATCGGGAGGTACCGTTATATGGGGGCTATACGAAGACGTGGACCTGCACAGACAATTTTCTGTCTTAGGCATCCATTACGAACTTCAAATACCAAAGTTGAAACAATTCCGGTGAATAATGTCTCTAAAATCATCAAAATACCGAATATCTGGAGGTAACGTTATATGGGTGCTTTATGGGATCTACATGGCCCATTTTTAATACCTGCAGACATAACATACATTTGAGTAAGATTTTATCAATCTACTTTTTTTATCAATCTACTTTTGGCAATCTAAAATGCGTATTGCGAGGTGTTACAAACGGAATGACAAACTTTATATACCCCGGTGGAGGGTATAAAAATAGGCTCTTTTTTATCGATCCAACTTACCAACAACAGACAGTGTGACAAGACATTTGCAGTTGTCAAGAAACCATCCAACAAAAATGTCATCGTATGGGCAGTCAGCTCTTTAAGATTCAAATTCTTTTTCTCCTGCAAGTGTAGCATGTAGTTTAGAAAATCGACGCGATCCTCATTTACACCCTCCTCTATTTGAGATTTTCTCATGCTCAACACATTTTGCATGAGTTCGACGAAAAATTTCTCTATTGGCTTCGGTACGAAATAGACTTTCTTATATTTGTGCAACCAAGGAAATATGCCAAGAAGTGTGGTATAAATTATGAAGGTAGCTGATTGATCGAAGAGTTTTTTCGTATTATCTAGAATGACACTGGGCTCCTTTCTGAAGCATTCCGCATTTATACCCAAGACACAATCGGTAACCACATCGCATGTGAAACGCAGGCTAAGCTAAATGGTGGGAAGTCATCTACAGTTAGAGATTATATAAAGAAAGTTATATTTTTTATCCCAACTTACATCATTGGCATTAATGCCATCCTTGCTGGCCATTAATGTTTGCTGAGCAATATATTCCACCATGCTCTTGCACACCTTATTTGTGACGGGAAATACATTTTTTATCTGAAAGAGAAATATATATTTAAATGAGTTATTAGTTTATAAGCATGAACGTAATTGCTTACTCTGTTCATTGTAAGACCTGGAGTTACTTCAGCCCTTCTCTCCTTCCACTCTTCGCCGGTCAACATAAAGGGATTATTACCGAAAATAAAATCGGACTCTTTGTCAATCTATGAAACAAAATAAATAGAAGTTTGATGTTAAATCGTCTCAGTAGTAAACCAATATAAAACCAGTAAGGAAAAGTCAAAAGTCGGGCGGGGCCGATTATATGATACCTTACACCATTATACATATTTAGTAGAGCTCCCGTAACAAAAGTATTAATATTAAGTAGATCTATCAACATTTGGCTTTAGAGCAGTTATAGTTTGCTATAGAGTGCATGATATCAGTTTAAGGAGGTTTATATTGAAACCAGTAAGGCAAGCTCAAAAGTCGGGCGGGGTCGACTATATGATACCCTACACCACTATGCATATTTAGTAGAGCTCTCGTAAAAGAAAGGTTTATATTAGGCATTTCTGAGCTCTATGAGATATCTGGTACAGAATATGATATGAGTATGGTAGAGTGCATATTCCGAAAGTTGGTGATTTAAATACCAAATCGGATGAAACATATATATGGGAGCAAATTCGAAATTCTTGCTTCTATGCTAAATTCGGTTGAAGTGCGAAAATCTATTTGGACTAATATTAGCCACTTGGTGCAATATAAACCTGAAATCGGGACTGAAACGCCTAATCAGATATTACACATATATGGGAGCTATAGCTATATTAACCCATTTTCACCAAATTTTATGTACTTACTTCTGGGCTGAATTCGGTCGAACGTACCAAAATAAAATAGTAAATAGTAAACCTCAAATGGGATGAAGATGTATATGGAAGCTACATCCAAAACAGAACCGATCTTGATATCATTTGAAACACGTATTAGTGGGCATTATCTGATATCTGGTATCAAATATCACTTTTGTGGAGTGTATATTACGAAAGCGAGGGACTTAAACACCACATCGGACGGAACATATATATCTGAACCGATTTTCACCAAGTTTTAAATGTTAACTTCTAGAATGAATTCGCTCGAAAGTGCAACTTTTCACTCACTTTGGGCTGAAATTGGCCGTTTGGTGCACAAGAAAAATAAAATCGGACGAAGATATATAGGGAAGCTATATCCAAATTTGATCCGATCTTTATGAATCATGTATTGCTAGGCTGAATCTAATATCTGGTGCCAAATATCATTTATATGGGGTGTATATTACGAATGTGGGGGACTTAAACACCAAATCGGTTGAAACCTATGTATGGGAGCTATAGCTATATCTGAACCGATTTTCTTCGAATTCGATGTACTTGCTTTTAGGTTGAATTCGGTGGGATGTGCTAAAATGCAGGTGATTTGGACTGATATTGGTCATTTGGTGCACAATTAATACGAAATCGGTTGAAGATAAATGAGAGCTTTACCTAAATCTGATCCGATTATCACCAATTTCAATAGGGCTCGTCCTTGGGCCAAACAAATATTGTTTGGAAATTTTCATCTCAATCAGATAATCAATGCAACCTGAATTTTGTTCACAAGAATACATGGACAAACGGACATGCATAAATCGATCCAGAAAGTGATTCTATGAAGATTCTCAAAAGTAACTATGCGTCTATATCGCTTCCTTCTCTCTGTTACAAACAAATGCACAAAGACCCTTACCCATATGTGGTGTAGGGTATAAAAAGCGCAATGTATGGGACACAGAAAAACTCGGTAGAATATGCAAATCTTAACCGATTTTAACCAAATTTGAAGTACTCGCACAATAAACCTGAAGTCGGATAAAGATATATATGGGAGCTATATGTAAATTTGAACCGATCTGGAAAAAATTTGGCAGAGTTCTTCCTGAGCTGTTTTTTTTTCTGAATAAAGTGGTTATGGAGTTCATATTACGGCTGTAGAGGACTTATGTAACAAATCGGATGCCCTTGGAGTTGGATGATTTCATTGACCAATATGCCTTCTAGAAGAATTATGCCGGTACAATATTGGCACCAGCGTAAAGCTTATGAAGCGTACTATACATTGGTATTATAAAAGTATACGAAGTTTTTGCCGATTTCAAGGAATATGTTCATTTTTATAGAAATCCTTGGACCAGGATGTTTTCATTGGACAATATGCCTTTCAGGATAACCGAGAACTTGAAGTATTGGTCTATGCCATATCAGTAATAGACTAAAAACATGCATTAAACACTAAAACTAAGGGCCAATAACGGGGATCGGTTGGGATTGTCTGAAATATACAGGGTGAAATGAAAAAACTGCAACAAACTTCACTGCTGTCATTTCTAAGCCACTCGTCCAAGAGCGTACGAAGCATTTTGCTGAGAATTTTCCAGAAAAAAAATTATTCGTGATGGAATTCAAGCGTGATAGTGTTATTTCTTAATATTTGTGTGGAAAACCAAAAGTGGCTTTCGTTAGAGCACTCCGGCATTTAAATGTGAATAAATCTTTTGTGTCTCGTTACCGTGATACTGGTAGCGTAGCCCGATGTCAAGGAAGTGTACGGAAGAAAACAGCGACATCAACAAAAATAGTTCGAAAAGTAAAAAAACGACTTGATCGAAACCCGCGTCGCAGTGGCCGAAAAATGGCTCGTGAGCCGAACATATCGCTCGGGGTAAAGCCATTGAAATTCTAAAAAATGCAAGAACTTACACCGCGACAGAAAAAAAAGGACTCAAAAGAGCTAATGAGTTGGTTCGCTAGGCCGAAAGTGGTGAACTGCCGAATTTGGTTTTCTCCGATGAGATTGATTGCTTTTCCTTCCAATGAGAAAACATTCGTTGTCCAGCAGCTTGTAAACAAACAAAATGATCGTGTTTACTTGCCAAAGAGGTCAGCTAAAAATGTGCTCCTTCGGTTGTCCACCAGAACTCAAGCGCCGGCCATGGTGATGGTTTGGGCCGCCATAACAGCCGATAGTCGCTCTCCGCTCGTTTTAATCGACCGTAGCATCAGAATAAATTCCGAATATTATCGCGAAAATATTCTGGAGGGTGTATTAAAGCCATGGTCACGCAAACATTTTGGCCACAGACCTTGGACATTCCAACAGGACAGCACCATCGCACTCAAAATGAGGTTCCTCGCTTCATTTCCAGCGCACAATCGCCACCAAAATCTCTGGATACCAATCCTTTGGACTATTGTGTGTGGAGTATTCTGGAAAGCAAGGTTGGCACTAAAAAATACCAAAGTTTTGATCACCTCAAGCAAGCGCTTTTTATGATTTCGCACAATATTGGATAAACATATTCGATTTTCTTGTAATTTTACCCATATCAATACTTTTATATGTATTAGATGAAGTATGAATATGGAATACTTCGGTCCACTAGATCTTTTACCTAACGTATATTTCCAAATTTTCCAAAAAATTGCATGTATGCTTTCTTATATCTATAAAAGAGTAAAATGTTGGTATGTTAGTTTGTTTGTAATTTATGGACTCGAAAACGGCTGCGTAGATTTTTCTGAAAATTTCCAAGTATATTACAGCATCACCTGAAAATAACATAGGCTATATAAATGTTTGAAATTCCACTTGGAACTGGAGAATTAGCATCAGAATCGGAGGTATCTCCCAAAAATTTAGATTTTGTATTCACATATCTATTGATCGATTACAGATACAATCTACATATTTTAATGCCTAAGAAATATGGAACAAAAATAAATTTGCAAAATTATATAGAAACCGGTTCAGATTTGGATATAGCTCCCATATACATTTTCGGCCGATTTCATGTATTTGATCCACCAAAAATGCTTGTTTCTCTAATTTCAATGAAATTTGGAATGTGTAACGAAAATTTTAATACATTTGACAAATTATATAAAAATCATTATCGACCGATTTCGTCTGTTTGATATCTATGTTCGATTCCAATGTAGTTTGGAATGAGTTACGGAATTTATTAAAAAAATAAGTTTGCCAAATTATATAGAAGTCGGTTCAGATATGGATATAGCTCCCCTATACATATTTTTAGTCGATTTCACATATTTGATGCACCAGACACGATACGTATGTCCCATTCCAATGCAATTCGGCATGAGTGACTAAATTTGGTACAAAAGCACATTTTTTAAATTATATTGAAGTCGGATAAGATTTGGATATAGTTCCCATACATATTTTCGACCAATTTTTATATTGCATGCACCTACCGCGATATGTATGTCCGATTCCAATGAAATTCAGAATGAGAGGTGTGACGAAATTTGTTTTAAAAGTAAATTTTTTCAAATTATATTTAAATCGGTTCAGATTGGGATATGATTTTATTAAGAAGCATTGACCCACAACGCCTTTGCAATTGTATTAGGCTAAAAGTAAAAAACTACACAACAATTAAATTGAGGATACAATTATTACGGGGAAGTATTTTGCTTCATCGATTTCTCTAATTGCTACAGAAATGCCACTCAACTTCAAAAGATTGCAGTTTCCTGCACACTTAGCAATTGCTATGAAATTAATAAATCCGAAAGACAAATTCTGCGGACTAAATTTGGCATGTTCCTGCTTTTGTCATGGTCAGCTGTTTCTGTCGTATTCACGCGTTTGTTTGTTTACACATTAAACTATTACAATAATTACGTTTTTTTTACATTTTTGAATTTGTTTTAATTTTTTTTTAACCAACCAATTTGTTTTATTTGTTAAACCACGAATGCATATAAAATTAAAAGGGATAGCGAAGCGCACCGGGTTCAGCTATATCTTGTATAAAGTATGGGAAGTAGTCGATATAGTCCAAATCTGGCACGTTGTAATATTTTTATCAGCCTTAGGTCAGTCAATATTGGCAAACTGCTTTGGAACCTCCCCCATAAAGGGCAAACATTATGAATAATTATAACTCAAGGCTGGGGTATAAATCTGTCGGCAAAAGCGACTGATACAATTTTACCTGTTTTTTTTTACCGAGAACTCGAAGATTATTTGTCAGCTAGCCTCAAATATGTGAATGTTTCAATATTGTTGCTATTTTGATGAGACAAATTTTCAATTGTCAAAAGGATGAAGTATTTAAACATTTTTAATAGTTTTTTACATTTTCCCAATTTTTTATGACGATTAGCGAAATGACTGCTAACATTAATATAGGCTTTAATATACAAGCCAATTATATCTAAAATCATGATAATATTCAATCATATAAATTCTTCTTCTATCGAGCGAAAGACGAACTATATATTTTACTCACCATCTTTGAAAAATCATTGTCGTGGAACTTTTTAAAATCCGAAACTAGAATTCTTCGAGCCATACTGGCATTAGTTATTAACAGTTGGGGTGTTCGAGATGAGTATATTCCCACATAATTATCCGTATGTTTATATTTGCTGGAAAAATATTAGAAAATTTTGTTAATTTATTATTACATCTCCTTCAGCCAGGGTATTATTTCATATTTACTCATAGACATCTTGAATATCATAGACTATGTTGCGTTATTGAGTAAGGGTACTCAAATAGTTGCCCACAAATGGCAGTGGCTTAGGTCCACTAACACCACGTTTCTTCCAGTAATCATAGGGCCAAATTAAAAATAAATATAACCCAAGTAGAAGCAGGCAAAGACCGGCTAATATTGACGATATCATTATTTATTATCGGTATTTTCGTTTTTGTTTGTCTTTCCGTTTGAGAGTGTTTTGTTTTCGCTTTGATAACTTAATAACGACTGTTACTCGCCATTCGATTTGATTAGCTTGAAAGTTTGTGAACGAGCTTTTTCGATTTAGCTGTTCGAAAAGTTTTCAAGTTTTCAATTATCTGAATTATAAAAGCTTTATCGAAAGCTTTTTTGTTGGGGTCAAATTCGACCGTTGTGCATAAATGATATGTTTGTATGTATCTACACATTATGGTGAAATTCAATATCAATTGTTGCTGGTGTAATACAGTTGGACAATGTTATGGCGAACTCTTTGCTATCTGGCCATTTAGTATGGAGAGTCAATGAACCTTATGAAATAGGTAAGATGTTATTTCATAAAATTGATATTAAATTCACAAAATGTATTTTATTATGCCCTCCACCATATTATGGCGAAATATAAATCTTAGACCCCAACAATTATATATATTCTTGTGCAGCATAAAATTCTATGTCGATTTAAAATTCTATGTCGATTGGCAGCATGTATTTCAATTATGTAAGACACACCCTTGTAATGAACTGTCAATATAGGTCCAAGTTTTGGTATAGTCCTCATACAAGGTGATATAAAAAAAAACTGCAACAAAGTCAAACGCCATAGCATTAACTTTGTCATTCCGTTTGTAACACCTCGAAATATAATGATCAGCATAAAATTCTATGTCGATTTAGCAATGTCCGTCCGTCTGTGGAAATCACTATAGCTTCCTAACGAAATGAAGTAGGTTGATAAAATTTTACTCGAATGTACCTCCCGATATACGGTATTTTGATGATTTTAGCGACATTATTTACCGGAATTGTTTCAAATTTCGCATTTATAGTTCGTAATGGATACTACCGCCTATGACAGAAAATTGTCTGTGCGGGTTCTCGTTTTCGTATAGCCCCCATATAACGATATTCGGTATTTTGATGAATTTAGCGACATTATTTACCGGAATTATTTCACATTTTGTATTTGAAGTTCGTAATGGATACTACAGCCTAAGCCAGAAAATTGTCTGTGCAGGTCCACGATTTATAACCCACGGTACCTCCCTATATTCGGTACTTTGATGATTTTAGCTACTTTATAAACTATTTTTTTTTTTTCAAGTTACGCATTTGAATTTTGTAATAGCTTGTGACAAAAGTTGCCTTTGCAGGCCCACGTCGTCGTATAGACCCTAATATACGGCTACATTCGGTATTTTTATGATTTTAAAATAATTTTTAACGGATTTTTTTTTTTTTTTGAAAATTTCCAAATTTGTACCAAATGGTAGAGGGTATTCAAAGTTTGCCCGCTCGAACTTACAACCTTTTTACATTTTTTTTTTTAATTTTATTGAATGAGAGCAAAAAATGTCGGAAATAGCATAGCATATGGCCTTCAAACGGCCAATGAAACCGTCACCCGTTGCTCGAATGTTGCTCTGCGGTATTTTGGCACATTCCCGGCGAAGCACTTGCTTAAGGTGAACGACACTTTGGAATTTTTTAGTGCCAACCAGCTTTCCCAAAATACTCCAGACACAATAGTCCAACGGACTGGTATCCGGTGATTTTGGTGAAATGAAGCGAGGAACCTCATTTTATGACCATTTTTGGGTGGCGCGTGCTGATTGCGATGGTGCTGAGTGCTATTGGAATGTCCAAGGTCTGCGGCCAAAATATTTGCGTGCCCAATGCTTTAATACACACTCCAACTAATATAATATTCGGCATTTATTTTGATGCCATGGTCGATTAATACGAGCGGAGAGCGACCATCGGCTGTTATGGCGGCCCACACCATCACCATGGCCGGCGCTTGAGTTCCGGTGGCCAACCGAAGGTGCACATTTTCAGCTGACCTCTTTGGCAAGTAAACACGATCATTTTGTTTGTTTACAAACTGCAGGACAACGAATGTTTTCTCATCGGGTATAATATATATATAATATATATGTATAATAGAGGGTACATATTGAGTATAGAGGGTATATTAAGTTCGTCATTCCATTTTTACCTCATCGAAATAATAATGTAAGACCCAACATAGTATATAGTATCCCTCCGGCCGTCTGTCTGTCTGTTGTAATCAGGCTACAGTCCAATCGAATTAAGATAAGAAGTTTAAATTTTGCACATATCTATCTTTTGGCTGCAGTCAGGTGGAGTTCGAATCGGTCCACGATATCGTACAGCTCCCATATAATGGTACCCCCTCCCTCCAAATATTCGGTATTTTGAGGATTTTAGCCACATTTTTGCATGGAAATTCTACACAAGGAGTTCTTTGTGAGTACTTTATCCCCTGAAAGAAAATTATCTACGTAGGAATTGTTTGAAATTCTACACACGGAGTGATTTGTGAGTACTTCACCCCTGAAAGAGAATTGTCCATATAGGTCCACGATATCGTATAATGGTACACCTCAATATTCGGTATTTTGATGATTTTAGCCACATTTTTCAACGGAATTGTCTTAAACTCTACACAAGGAGTTCTTTCAGAGTACTTTACCCCTAGAAATAAATTTGTCTATTTAATTCAACAATATCGTATATCCACCCATATATCGGTCTTCTGAATTTCTGATATTACGTATTTTAAAGCTTTTAACAGAAATTATAATGGATTCTATTTTTTTTTTTTTTTTTTTTAATTTCCTAATTCTTTTCAAAAGGTGGAGGGTATTCAAAGTTCGGCCCGGCCGAAATTACTGCTTTTTTACTTGTTAATGGGTCATACGGCTTACGCAGATAAAGCCTAATATTAGGCAGGGGCCAAATATATTATACCCTCCACTATAGTATGGAGGGTATATTAACTTTGTCATTCCGTTTGTAACAGTTTGAAATATACATTTTAGACCCCATTTTTGATCAAAATAAAATTCTTTGTCGAGTTAGCGATGCCTGTCCGTCTGTGGAAATCACTCTAGCTTCCAAACGAAATGAAGTAGGTTGATAAAATTTTACTCAAATTTATATTATGGCTGCAGGACTTTTGGTATTGAAAATGGGACATGTAGGTCCATATAATGGCACCTCCCGATATTCGGTATTTTGATTATTTTAGCGACATTATTCTCTTGAATTGTTTCAATTTTGGCATTTGAAGTTCGTAATGAATACTACAGCCCATGACAGAAAATTGTCTGTGCAGGTCCACGTCTTCGTATATCCCTCATGTAACGGTACCTTTCGATATTCGGTATTTTGATGATTTTAGCGAAATTATTCACCGGTATTGTTTCAGAAATTTGTCTGTATAGCCCCTATATAAAGGTACCTTCCTATATTCGGTATTTTGATGATTTTAGCTAGATTTAGATTTTATTCAACTTTTTTTAATTTTCGCATTTGCATGCTGGTTACTAATGCTGGTCCACGTCGTTGTATAGATCCTAATATAAAGGCTAAATTCGGTATTTTTAAGAATTTAACTGAATTTTTCAACGGATTTTATTTTTTTTTTTTTGAAAGTTGCCTAATTCGGTGGAGTGTATCAGCCCAGCCGATTTACATCTTTTTATACCCTGCACCACATAGCGGTAAAGGTATTATGTCTTTGTTTATTTGTTTGAAACATGGAGAAGGAAACGATATAGACCCATAGTTCCATTTGGTGATCAGCATAAAATCAAATTTTGAGTCGTCTGTCAGTCCGTCCGTCTGTCTGTCTGTCCATGTATTTTTGTAAACAAAATGCAGGTCGCATTTATTATTCGATTGAGATGAAATTTTCTGAATAACATTTGTTTGGCTCAAGGACAAACCCTATTGAAATTGGTGAAAATCGGTCCAAATTTAGATGTAGCTTCCATATATATCTTCAACCGATATTAGATTTCTTGTGCACCAAATGGCTAATATCAGTCCAAATGGTATGAATTTTAGCACTTCTGAACGAATTTAGTATAGAAATAAGTACTTTAAATTTGGTGCAGATATAGCTATTAAATCGGTCCAGATATAGCTTTTGCTCCCATATCTATGTTTCGTCCGATTTGGTGTTTAAGTCGCTCACATTCATAATATACACCCCACAAAAAATTATATTTATTACCAAATATTAGATTCAGCCCAGTAATACATGATCCAAATCAATTATCAAGATCGGTTAAGTTTTGGATGCAGCTCCCCTATATATCTTCGTCCGATTTTAGGTTTCTTGTGCGCCAAATGGCTAATTTCAGCCCAAAGTGAGTGAAATGTTACACTTCCAAGCGAATTCTTTCTAGAAGTTAATACTTAAAATTTGGTAAAAATCGCTTCAGATATAGCTATAGCTCCCATATATATTTTTCAACCGATTTTGGTGTTTAAACCTCCATCTTTCGGAATATGCACTCTACCATAAACATATTTTGTACCAGATATCTCATAGAGTTCAGAATTGCCCAATATAAACCTTTCTTTTACGAGAGCTCTACTAAATATACATAGTGGTGTAGGGTATGAAATAGTCGGTCTCGCTCGATTTATATGCCCTACACCACAAGGTGGTCAGGGTATTATGTCTTTGTGCATTTGTTTGTATCTGGCAAAAGGAAACGAGATAGACCCATAGTTCCTTTTGATGATCTGCATAGAATCACATTCTGAGTCGATTTATGCATGTCCATCCGTCTGTCTGTCCGTCCGTCTGTCCATGTATTTTTGTAAACAAAGTAAAGTTCGCATTTATTGCCCTATACATTTTGCATAAATCATTTGTTTGGCCCAAGGACGAACCATATTGAAATTTGAAATAATCGGGCAAAATTTTAAATATAGCTCCCATATATATCTTCGTCCGATTTGCTTTTTATTGTGCACCAAATGTGTAATATCAACCCGAATAGTATGAAATTTTGCATATACAACCAAATTTGGCCTGAAAATAAGTATGCCTAATTTTATCGAGATCGGTTCAGATATAGGTATAGCTCCCATATATATTGTTCCTCCGATTTGTTATTTTTGTCCTCCGCAGCCGTAATATGCACTCTGTAACAAAAATATTTGGGAAAATATATCAAATACAGCTCAGAAATACCTTTGCTAAATTTCATGAAGATCGATATTTGCCCAAATGGGATGAAATCTGGCACTTACGACCGAATTGAGTCTAGAAGCTAGTATGTCAAATTTGGAAGAAGAAAATCGGTTCAGATGTAGCTATAGCTCCCATATGTATTGTTCATCCGATTTGTTATATTTGTTACCCATAGTCGTAAAATGTACTCCGTAAGAACGATATTCAGGGAAATATATCAAATACAGCTCAGAAATATCTTTGCCAAATTTTATCAAGATCGGCTCGGATTTGGATATATCTCCCATATATAACTTCGTCCGATTTACCTTTTATTGTGCACCAAAAGTCTAATATTGGCCCAAATTGAATGGAATTTGGCACTTACGACCGAATTGAGTCTAGAAGGTAGCATGTCAAATTTGGTGAAGATCGGTTCAGATATAGGGTGTAGGGTGTCATAAGGTCGGCCCGCCCGACTTTAAGACTTTCTTTACAGTTTTTTTTTTAAACTTCGCATTTGAATATTGTAATGGCTTATCTCAAAAGTTACCTATGAAGGTCCATGTCGTCGTATAGACCCTAATATGACGGATTTTATTTATATAATATAACGGATTTTATCATCTTTGTTACTTGTTAATTCTATGAAGGGTCAATAAAAAACAAAAAAATCGTTTTAGTTTTTAAAAGATATTTTATTTAATTTTATGGTTTATTTCACATACTTTTGTATATTGTTTTATATATATATGTGGATTCTGATAGATACAAAAGCTTAAAAGAAATAGAAAAAATAAATTTGATCATAAGAAATTCATACAATTAGATACAATCGTTTTGCTATTCTAAACTACAAAATATACACAGAAAAGTATAAGATCGAATTTTCGGCCGGCCAATTGCCGGTCCAATTGCCCCGATTCGTATTCGATTCGTGAAGAGAAATAATTGAGTTGAATGCTGCAGAAGGATGGATGATAGAGTGGTGACAGTGAGTGATTGATAAGGACTGTGGTGTACATTTTTGGGTTTTGTCTCTTAAATGTTAATTTCATGAACTAGTTTTTATTTATTTCTTGCTCTCTTATATTTAGCTAAAAATATAGAATGTTTTTTTCTGAAGATTTCTTTGTTGTGCAAAATACAACATTTATTTTTTTTTTTAGTTTTTTTTTCATAAATATTTTTTGTTGTGGTATTTGTTAAATTTACTTATTCTTTGGTATTTCCATGGCCTTTTGCTGTTCTTAGCTTTGTTTAATTTTTTTGCCCTCTCTAATTCATAACCATTTTGATTAGCTTTTTCGTTTTTTTTCTTTTCCTTAAAATTTGAAAACATTACAGATTTACTTTTTACAAGTGTTGGTATTTTATTTTTATATAATTATTTTTGATTTTTTCTTTGTTGTTGTTTTATTATAAAATCAGTCTCAATACAAGCCATCTTAATATTTTTTTTTTTGCCTAACGATTTTTTGTTGTATAATTGTTGTTGTGTAGTAGTAATGTGTATTAGTTTATTTTATTTTTTTTTTCAACATTAGCCTAACACTTCTTGGGTAACTACATTATCCTTTTGAAAGCTTAACTAAATATTTTAGATTTGTTTTCATTTTTTTTCGATGGGCTTCTTAAGCAGTAAACTTATTTTAAATATTCTTTTGTTCCAATCGTTAATAAGTAGTTGTAGTAAAATTTATTTATACTTTTTGTAACTATATTAGTGCTAAATATCATTTTGAATTTTTTCTCTCTATAAATATATATTGTGCATTATTGATTAATTAAATGTTTTTCTTTTGTTTCCATAATAAGATATTGCTTTTGAAAAATATTTAGATTTTAGTTGTGGTATGATTGATTTGAGTTTTGGAAAACATAATGGCAAAAAATGTTGTGAAATGATGGTGATGATGATGAGCTTGATAGCCATGCAAAAAATAAATAAATTTTTGGAATTTTTGATTTCGATATGAAGGAAACTGCATCTTCTTTTTGAGAATAAAAAAAGTCATAGTTATAGTATAGGGCTTAACTCTACTTCGATAAAAAATCTCCGTTTTGTTTTTACAATTTTTCCAGAGGTAGGTATTCATATCCTGATTCCGGGAAAGTATTTTTATTTTTGGGGGGATAGACCCAGATGCCCGGTATTCGAGCCTAAAGTCCGGGTTACCGACCCGGACCTACTAAGCCGATATGGATATTGTCCAATAAGTGGTCACATGATGGAGTAATTTAAAAGGGCAGTGTATCCGAAAATAATGATTTTTTGGACCCCGATTTTTTTAAAACATCTTCAAAAGTCAAGAAAGGCCCCATTTTTGGAGTCCACAAAATTAATGTCAAAATATAGTTGACACTATAACCATTCCAAAATGCTACAATGTGTGTTATTATATTTTTGGATCTAGAGATATAGGTTATTAGAACCCGGATGAGCCGATTATGTTCAGAACATTGAAATTATGTTTTCAGTATAAAAAACTTTGCGTATTCAGTGTTGGACATACCCAAAGAGAAAATATCCACCAACGACCGAAGGTCATCTACTTAAAAAAAATTAAATTTAGAAACAATTTAGTTCGTGTAGTTGGTATTGGATATACCGCCCGAAGACCGGCTGCTTGAAAAAGAATCAAATTTAGAAACAATTTAGTTCGCAGTGTTGAAAATCACAAGCCTCGGCCGAAGACCGACTTTTTTAAGGAAATATTTAATTAAAAAAGTTGTTGGTTCGCGTAGCTGGTGTTGGACTTTCCCAAAGAGAAAATCGCGAAAATCGAAAGCGGGCAGCTAAAAAAAAATAATTTTAGAAAAAAAATTAGTTCGTGTAGCCGGTGTTGGGGAAACCCAGAGTTGAAAATCTCAAGCGCCGGCCGAAGATCGGCTACTTAAAAAGAGTATTAAATTTAAAAACAAAAACTTTGGATCAATCAACCGGAGATGAAAATCTCAAACCCCGACCAAAGACCGGCTACTTAAAAGGAATATTAAATTAAAAAAGTTGTTAGTTCGGGTAGTCGGTGTTTGACATACTTGGAGGAGAAAATCTCAAGCCCTAACTACTTAAAAAAGTATGAAAATTAGAAAAATTTTAGTTTGCGTAGTCGAGAAAATCTCAAGCCTCGGCCGAAAGCCGGCAACTTAAAAGGAGTATCAAATTTAGAAAAACTGAACAGATTTGGGTTGTCCAGGTTAAAAGTCCTATATCTCCGGATCCAGGAAAGATAATAGCACATGTTGTAATATTATAGAATTTCGTAAATATTTTGTGGACTCCAAAAAATGAGGCCCTTTTCGACTTTTGGGGAATTTTTTAAAAAATCGAGTCCAATAAATCGATGGTTTATATATAAATTCAAAATCAATCCGCCGAAGGCCATCTACTTAAAATTTAGAAAAACTGAGCAGATGTTGGTTGTCCAGTTTAAAGGTCCTATATATCCGGATCCCGGAAAGATAATATCACATGCTGAAATATTTTCAAATTTAGCATTTATCTCGCAAATATTTTGTGGACTCCAAAAAATGGGGCCCTTTTCGACCTTTGGGGAATTAAAAAATCGAGTCCAAAAATCGGGATTTAAGATATAACTTCGGAATCACTCCGCCGAAGCCCATTTACTTAAAAGGAGTATCAAATTTAGAAAAACTGAACAGATTTGGGTTGTTCAGGTTAAAGGTCCTATATCTCTGGATCCAGGAAAGATAACAGCACATGTTGTAATATTTTAGAATATAGCTTTTATCTCGCAAATATTTTACGGACTCCATAAAATGGGGTCTTTTTCGACTTTTGGGGGATTTTATAAAAAAAAATCGAGTCCAAAAAGTCGATGATTTAGATATATCCCGATTCCGGATCATGGATCAAAGATTCGGGTATCCGTGGATCAAAGATTCGGGTATCCCCAAGAAAAAAATATCCTCACGAAATCAAGGTACAAACACCTAACTCTGGAAGAAATTTAAAAAAATATATTCGAAAGTTTTTATTAAACTAGAGTTATTCCCCCAACTACAAGCCATGAATCTGAAATTCATGTCTGAAAAATCTGCGACCCTGCGAGACATTTTTCCGCATTTAAAGATTTTCTTGAGAATTTTCTCTGCTAACTCCTTTTCTCGAACAAGGTTGTCGTTTCAAAAACTAACCAGATACTTGCATATTATCGGCGGTAGTTAAGCCCTGCAAAATTTCTCCAAGTCTATCCAATCTCTCAATAACGATTCTCTTAACGATTTATCTAAAAATGTAAAGTGTGAGCATTCTATGATGAGACAGCAATTCCTCCGTTTGTGGAATATTTTCTTTTTATTTTTGTATTTAGCCATGTCCGCTTTAGACATGGAAACCACTTTAGCTTCCCAAACCAGTGCGGAAAGCCCAAAAGTCGGGCGGGCCCGACTATATGATACCCTACACCACTATGCATATTTAGTGGAGCTCTCGCAAAAGAAAGGTTTATATTGGACATTTCTGAGCTCTATAAAATATCTGGTATATGTTTATGGTAATATAAATATTCCGAAAGTTGGAGATTTAAATACCAAATCGGATGAAATATATATATGGGAGCAAATTTGAAATTCTTGCTTCTAGGCTAAATTTGGTTGAAGTGCGAAAATCCATTTGGACTAATATTAGCCATTTGGTGCAGAAAAAACCTGAAATCGGATAATGATATGGGAGCTATTTTCAAATCTGAACCGATCTTTATAAAATTGAAAACAGCTATTTCTTGGCTGTATCTAATATCTGGTACCATATATTATTCTTCTATCGTGCATTTTACGAATTTGAGGGACTTAAACACCAAATCGGATGAAACATATATATGGGAGATATAGCTATATCTGAACCGATTTTTGATGTATTAGCTTCTAGGCTAAACTTGACCGAATGTGCCAAACTTCAGGCTGTTTGGGCTGATATTGGCCATTTGGTGATTAATTAACCCGAAATCGACCGAAGTTGTATATGGCAGCTATATCCAAATCTGAACCGAACTTGATAAAATCTTATCTACGAATTGTTAGGCTGTCTTGTGGAGTGCATACAACGAATGTAAGGCACTTAAACACTAAAATCGGATGAAACATATATATGGGAGCTATAGCTATATCTGAACCTATTTTCACCAAATTTGACGCACATTCTAGTTGGCTGATATTTTCCATTTGGTGCACAAGAAACTTAAAATCGGATGAAGATATATATGGGAGCAACATCTAAATTTGGACCGATTTTCACCAATTTCCATAGGGTTCGTCCTTGAGCCAAGCAAATGTTATTTCGAAAATTTTACCTCAATCGAATAATAAATGACACCTGCATTTTGTTTACAAAAATACATGGACATACAGACAGACGGACATGCATAAATCGACTCAAAATGTGATTCTATGCTGATCACCAAAATTAACGAGATAGTTAATCCATCTTCATGTTACAACCAAATGTACAAAGTCATAATACTCTTACCACTATGTGGTGTAGGGTATAATAAATTAAGTCGTTTGATAAAATTTTAATCAAATGTGTTTTAGGCCCGTAGAACTGGTATTGAAAATATGCCACCACATTTAAAGTGTTTTATTCACAAATTTAACCCTGCATAGAACTGTCCAAATTTTGCTACAGTCCCCAAATAATTATAACTTCCTATATTCGGTATTTAATTGCCACCTGAATTATTTCAAATTTTGTATTTGAAGTTCGTAATGGATACTACCTTCTATGAAAGAGAATTACATCTTCTTGTAGCCCCAAATTTAGCGGTACCTAGTTCTATTCGGCATTTTGAAGATTTTAATCACTGCTCACCAGAATTATTTCAAATTTGGAGTTCCCAGTACTATTTCCATTGATGGAAAATTTTCCGTTCAGATCCATGTCTTCGTCTAGCCCCCATATAACAGTACATCCAAATATTTTGTTTTTAAGGATTTTAGCTGTATATACTATTCATCAGAATTAGCTGTATTATCCCAAACTTGGTATTTGAAGTCCAAATTAAGCACCGCCTTCGCACCGTTTTCGTATAGCCCCCGTATAAGTGATACACTTGAAAGTTTCTTCGCTCTTCATCCAAATACTTTTGTGAGAATGAATGCTACACTTTTAGTGGAACATCTTAACATTAAATAGTAAAAAATATTTATTTTGTCCACAAGGTCCTTTAATTGGTAATGTCCCATAAATAAAATGACATAGATGGAAATGTGAGTTATGATATATATAGGTAAGGTGGCTTTGATAACATAATCAATGAAATAAAGATGTCATGACGATTAGTTGCTTTTTTTATAATTTCTTCTTTTTTTCTTGTTCATTTTTGTTGTTGTTGTAATAATAATAACAAACACAGCGCAAATTGTTGAGCACACCATTTTTTTTTTCTTTGTTTATATTTTTTAATTATTTTAATTGCTAAATTGTTTAGTCTAAGAATTTATCTAACTTTTTTTGGTTTTATACTATACATGGAGTTTGGATTTATGTTTCGTTAGGGTCAGGACAAAGGAAGTTCTCAGATAATCGATGATAATTATGTGTTCAAATATTAAAAGAAAAAATCTGAAATATTGAAACTCACTTCAAATTCTCCCACTATGGTAACGAATCTAAACATTCTACTAGAAATAATTAAATGTCCGATCGTCTTTAAGAATCCACCTAAAATCTCACCCGAACATCCATACATAATCCATATATTTGCTGTAGATTCTAATGTCGTTATAGTAGCGGTATGCCATGAGAGCAACCAACTTCAGACTGCTGTCATTTCTAAGCCACTCATCCGACAGCTGTTAAAATTATTCCAGTGACAGCTCATTAAATTGTTTACAAGCGTATAAAAGAATTTTGGCGAGAATTTTTCAGAAAAACAGTTACTCGTGATGGAATTCAAGCGTGATAGTGTGATTTATTTATATTTGGCTGGAAAACCACATGTGGCTATCATTAGAGCGCTCCAGCATTTAAATGTGAATAAATATTTTGTGTCTCGTACCATCACCCGTTACCGTACGTGGACGGAAGAAAACAGCAACATAAACAGAAATGGTTCGAAAAGTGACGAAAAATTCACCAAATATTGAAAAATGAGCTCGGGGTGAAGTCACTGAAATTCCAAAAAGTGCAAGAACTTACACTGCAACAGAAAGAAAATAGACTCAAAAGAGCTAAAGATTTGCTTCGCTTGGTCGAATGTGGTGAACTGCCGAATTTGGTTTTCTGCGATGAGAAAACATTCGTTGTCTAGCAGTTTTTAAACAAACAAAATGATCGTGTTTACTTCTCAAAGAGGTCAGCTGAAAATGTGCACCTTCGGTTTGCCACCAGAACTCTAGCGCCGGCCATGGTGATGGTGTGGGCAGCCATAACAGCCGATGGTCGCTCTCTGCTCGTATTAATCGACCGTGGCATCAGAATAAATGCCGATTATAATCGCGAAAATATTCTGGAGGGTGTATAAAAGCCTTGGGCACGCAAACATTTTGGCCGCAGACCTTGGACATTCCAACAAGACTCAGCATCAACGCACTCAGCACGAGCCACCCAAGAATGGTTACAAAACTAGGCTCCTCGCTTCATTTCCAGCGCACAATGGCCACCAAAATCTCCGGATACCAATCCGTTGGACTACTGTGTCTGGAGTATTTTTGAAAGCAAGGTTGGCACTAAAAATACCAGAGTATCGATCACCTCAAGCAAGTGCTTCGCCGGGAATGGGCCGAAATACCGCAGAGCAACATTCGGGCAGGTTGTGACGTTTTCATTGGCCGTTTGAAGGCCATAATTCGTGCCAAAGGTGACCAATTCGAACAAATGTAAGCTTATTCTAAAATTTGATACAATTCCGACATTTTTTGCTTTCATTCAATAAAATTTAAAAAAAAAAATGTAAAAAATATGGCGTTTGACTTTGTTGCAGTTGTTTCTTTTCTCACCCTGTATGCACTCAGTCTTAAGTCATCATACACCCACATAAATCCGTCTGGGCAAGACCTCTCTTATGCAAAAACGCCTTGAGAGGGCCGTGTCCAGTCAGTAAGAAAGCCGAACCGAAAGTTTGGTACGAACGATGCGTCATGAATAAATTCATACGTCATTGATTGATTCATTGATAAAAAGCCATACTACTGACAAACGATCGCAAACAACCTCGTGAGCATACTATCACATAAAAGGAAGGGAAATTCACCTTTGAATTTAAAAAATATGCTAACAACATATTTGGCATTTGACCCGCTCAGAATATACTGCCGTGCACCCACTCGTCACAGTACCTCTACCATCGGTAAAACCGAATTGATGTTCGGAGTAGCACTCCTTAAGCCCGGACACTATTGCCATCTTACTTTTCCAAACGATATAAGCGAGGATCACTTCTTATCCTATCCGGCGACTTAAGTAGCTCGTCAACTCTAGCACTCTTGAATGCACGCTGAAAGTACCCTTGGCTCATGCAGCGGCTAAATATTGACTTCATATATCCATGCATAACTTTCCAAATGTCTTTATACGTCCGTCCAGTCATATTGTCTAATCCGGAAGATACTGTGCGAAACTTCTGATCATTCTAATGCCGGAAGCTTCGCCAATTACCAACAAGCAGAGAGAATGTCTGAGTCTCCGTAGTAAAAAAGAAGGCGGTCGGTTGGAAAAAAAGTAAGTAATACATAATTGATTCACAAATTTAAATTCCGTTTTTTCTCTTTGGGTTTGGCAGATCGCACCTTAAAGCAAAATTGCGAAAAAAATCGCGTTAAGTTTTCGGGCACAGCCCCGTGAAAATTTTTCTTAAAGAATGCTTAATAAATTTGCTGCAATTGCAGGAAGCGGTTGACGGTATGAGTGGGGTATGCACATTTCGTGCAAACATCTGTACCACCGCCACTGGGGACTACACTAGACATCAATGGATATGTTTTCAGCTTCACATTGCCCATGGACAACTATTTATTTCATCACTAACCATATAAATGATTTTGTAGCCCGTATACATATACATTTTATTCGGATTAATATTCAGTCAGATATTCAATACAAAAATAAATCTTTCCATGACCAGATTTATTTTAAATTCCATGAGAAGCGTACATACTAACGGTATGCAGCGTTTTTATGCGATGCACCCCAAAGCCGCAAGTGTTTCTGAAAAGGTAATTTCAGTTTCAGTAAACCGTTTCAAAAAACTACTTAAATACAACATTTAATGTCTGAATCAAAATTGAATGCAAGAAGTTATCATTTATTTAAATATGAATGAAATGTCTCGATTTTATTTTTCAAATATTGGGCTCAATTTTTCTAATAATTTTCTTCCTTTGCAAATATGCATTTAAAGTGAGCTCTGAAATTTATGTTTTTTTTTTTCAAAAACGCTGTTTTTCAAAATATTTTGCTTTCATTTTTTAAAATAAGGGACTTGATTGTTTCAAACAACCATTACATATTTTACATTCGCATTTTTTACATTGCCCAATTGCGGTAGCATGTGTTAGCTTCAATGCAGTCAACGTTCATTTCAATGCAGTCAACGTACCATTCAATAATAATTCTCATTCACTTCGTGTGACTACCTGAATATGTATTTTGGTTTTATCCATCGAGAATGTCGATCAATAGCCGACAAAATACGAATAGACGTATGGGTCGTCCGCAGTCTCGATACTAATTAGCCACAATTCGATCCAGATCATAGCAAGCTCTCGGCTTTTTGACAAGCTCCCAGTGCTTAGCACGCTCCCACATATCACATTAGGTATTTTGATCATTTTACCTACATTTTTCAATGCAATTGTCTAAAAATATTCAACGGAATTGTTTCAAGTTTCGTATTTGAATTTCCTAATAGGTACTATAGTGTATGACAGAAAATTGTCTAAGGTTCAGGTCTTCGAATAGGGCCCATGCATCAGTACCTCCCCATATTCGGTATTTTGACGAATTTAGCTACGTTTCGAAGTTCCTAATAGGTTACTACAACCTGTGACAGAAAATTGTCTATGCAGGTCGAGGTCTTCGTATATCTCCATATATCGGTTCCTCCCCCTATTCGGTATTTTGATGATTTTAATTACATTATTCACCGGACTTTTTTCAAGTTTCGTATTGGAACATTGTAATGGCCTATAACAAATGTTGCCTATGCAAGTCCACGTCTTCGTACAGACCCCACTATAACGGCGACTTTCTATATTCAGTATTTTTAAAGTTTTAAGAGATTTTTTAACGGATTTTATACATTTATTTTTTTATTTTATTTATTTTTTTGAAAATTTTTCTATTCGATCCAAATGGTATTCAAAGTTTGGCCCGGTCGAAGCTACTTCTTTTTTACCTTATTTTAAGAAATCACAACATTTAATACGACAAAATTCGTACTCATTAACTTAACGAAATGTTTCGTTATTTTAATATATTTTTGGGTTTTCGCCTTATTTTAATAGAATATCGAATATGGTATACGCAAGTCAGCCGAAAGAAAGTAATGAGTTATATTGGCGACAGCCATAGTGCTTATTTTCCTGCTAGGGCGTCGACTGTTCCAGCATTTGAATAGTCATTAATTTCGGAACGATTGCAGAAAAACTAAAATATATTGTTAAATTCCACAACCTCTGTAGTATCTGGGGTAAATAGAAGTCCCGCAGCCACACGTCGAAAAGTATGCAACGTAAAAGTTCTTAGTTCTTTTGACAATTCCGTTATTTTGGAAACATTGGCGTTGGTTCTATATTAAAAAGTCTTCCAACAATTTCGATAACTTCGGACCTGAAGACATTTTGGTCAAATATAATTATGGCTGATTCTCGATTCGGTGATACTCTTCCAGTAGATATTTTGATAGGACCAGATTTGTACCATAAATAGCTAAAAACTCATAGTTTCCATTTTTAAGTCGATTTCGAGTGGGAACTCTTCTTTCATTTTCGATTTACAAAAACTCTGCATTAGATTTCATTTTCGGAGTTGGAGATAACTTTTTCCCTTCACTCATTTTTTCTGTGTCAGAACTTAACAACTGCACACCAATTATCTGAGAAGGGTATGGGAGATGGGAATTCCCTAAAACTATTTGAAAAATAGCTTGTGTTTTCTTTTTTTCTTCGTTATCTTAAATATACTTCTTTTAGTGAAAATTAAATAGTCACAACTTTTAACCGTACTTAAATGTTAATATCTATTAAAATGTGAATACATATCTACGCATCTACATGTGTGTTTGTGTGTGTAATTCTATAATAGGTGTATTAGAATATCTTATGATTAATACCACAATATGTACGTTTTAGTGCCAATTTCTTATTTTTCGATTTTTCTTATAATTATCGTCTAAGTTCTGTAGGTTATGTGATTTTAAAAATTTAGAAGGACAAATTCAATTCCGTTTCGTAGTAAAGATGTGACTATATATATTAAACTGCACATACACACAAACATGTGAGGGGGAATAGAACGAACGTGTGAATATGATGTTGTAATTATGTGAAAAAAATGTTTGAGGAAGATTCTCTTATATTCGAAATTCATATACTAAGTTATTTACAATTTACACTAATTTTAATATTTCTCTTCTTTTTTTGGGGTTTAGTTAACCTTTGCTACATGTCTAAGGAAATATATATTTTTTCTGTAATGTGTTTATCAAGCTCCTAAAAACTACTTGACATACATTCCGTACTGTATGCATTTCAATCACTTGTTAAGTCATCTCCAATCAAACTACGATCCATGCCCTTCCAATTGCTGGAATTCATTTCGGCTGCTGTTATGCCATATGCCTCGCTGGGAAGACGTTTCTGTCGACACAATGCCAATCGAGTCTTATTTGGTGATGTTGGCTGTAGGAGTGGTGAAGATGCCTGCGGTGAATCCATATCGTCGGTATTTTCTTCGGGACAACTGTCGGATGGTGAGGCGATACGTTCGCGAGTTTTTATGGATTTTTCTAAGCGTCGCAAAAATCTGTTGGCAATGGAAAGATTTATATTAAATCTTGTATAAAAAAAATATTCCCTTCTTACCTGATTTGAATTCCAATTGCCCGTAAACGATTTATTTTGCATTTAGGTTTTGGTGGATCCTCCTCCTTGACAATGCTTGGTGAAATCCGTCTCAAGATTGACTAGAATGAAAAAGGAAAATGAGTTAGCATTTATTTACTATACGGTCAAAGTCAAAGATTAACAAGTAACAAGTAAACACCATTTGGAAGGAACTTGAACAATTTCAAAAAATTCCGAAAACCACTACTTAAACGACAACCGTTATATGGGGACTATACGAAGACCTGCATACGAAATTTTTTGTCATAGCTTGTAGTACCCATTAAGATCTTCCAATACGAAATTCGAAACGATTCCGGTGAATAATGTTGCTGAAATCATCAAAATGCCGAATATCGGGAGGTACCGTTATATGAGAGCTATACGAAGACGCATACAAAATTTTTTTGTCATAGGCTGTTGTACCCAACACGAAGTTCAAATACGAAATTCCTTCCACCATTTGGAAGGAACTTGAAAAATTGCAAAAAAAAATCCGAAATCAACTACTTAAACGTAAACCATTATATGGGGACTATACGAAGATGTGGACCTGCATACACATTTTTTTGTCATAGGCTGTTGTACCCATTACGAAGTTCAAATACGAAATTTGAAATAATTCCGGTAAAAAATGCCGCTAAAATCATGGAAATACCGAATATCGGTAGGTACCGTTATATGGGGGCTATACGAAAACGTTGACCGACATGGCCCATTTACGAACTTAACCTGCCAACTGGTAAACTATGGATGTATGCAAAATTTTAGCCTTTAATGTCAATTCGTTGGAAAGATAGCGTGATTGCAAAAGACAGACGGATAATCTTAAAATTTTACGCTGATCCAGAATATATGTACTTTGTAGGGTCTATCATGAATATTTCGAGGAGTTACAAACGGAATGATGAACCTAATATATCCTCTATAGAATTGTGGAGGGTATAAAAAGACATTAAGTTCGGACGGACCGAACTTCTAAAACCCTCCACCATTAGATAAAGAAAACCTTTTTATCCAATATATCTGGATTCAAACGTTTCCCACTTTAAACTACAAACTCCAGTAATATCCGTAGATGAATGCAGTTAGAGTTTACAAAAAACAATATAGTGGTTTGAGGTGTTATATGGGGGCCAAACCAAAAAGGGAGCCTATATGGAAAATGTTAAGTACAAAGATTAATTACCAAATTTGACATAGTTTCGTGTGTAAATGTGCCTAGAATTATCAAAATACGGAATATAGGTCTAAATATCCAATTTTAAATACGGAACCGTTACATGGAAACCTTTGGCCAATATGGACAATGTTTTGACAATGGTTGTAGAAGCCATTATTAAGTACAAATACCAAACTTCACACAAATCTGCTAGAAAATGTGGCTTAAATCGTCAAAATACCAAATTTTCGAAGGTACTGTTATTTGTGCGCTACAGCAAAACGTGGATCTAGATGTTCAATGTTTTACCACCGGTGCTAGAACCAATAACGAAATACATATACCAAGTCTTTGCCAAATCCTTGGAAAGATGTTGCCAAAAACCATCAAAATACCGAATATCGGAAGCTACCGTTATATGGGGCCTATACGAATATATGACGAAAACGAGGACATACATATAAAACGTTCCGCCACTGGAGCTAGGACCCATCGCAAACTACAAATACCAATTTTTAGATAACTTGTTGGAAAAATGTGGCGAATATCATTAAAATTCCGAATATCGGGAGCTACCGATATATGGGGGCTATTCGAAAAGGAGGACCTCCGCCACTGGAGCTAGAATCCATAACAAACTACAAATACCAATTTTTAGACAAATTGGTGGAAAAATGTGGCGGAAATCATTAAAATACAGAATATTGGGAGGTACCCTTGTATACGAAAATGCGAACCTATACATACGAAAACGAGGACCTATATATAACATGTTCGGCCACTGGAGTTAGAACCCATCACGAACTAACCAAAATACCAATTTTAAGACAAATTGGTGGAAAAATGTGGCGTAAATCTTTAAAATAACGAATATTGGGAGTTACACTTATATACGAAAATGTGGACCTATACATACAGTGTTCCGCCGCTGGGGCTAGAACCCATGACGAACTACAAATACCCATTTTTCGACAAATTTTGTGGGAAAATGTGACTAAAACCATCAAAATACCGAATAACGGGAGGTACCCTTATATGGGAGATATACGAAAATGTAGACCTATAAATACAGTATTCTGCCACTGGAGATAGAACCCATAATAGTTCCTGATGCCTGGATATGTGCAGGGTTGTCCAGCTATTGAAGCCAGACAAGGACGCCATCAAAAGTGATTCATAAAGGCCGATATCATTTTTGTTGCCAGTAGGAAAGGCACTTGAGGCGTTTGAAGTACTAACAAGGTTCTCAAGACAGCACTCTCCAATTAAAAAACTTTGTATATATCTTACAACGCGATAGCCCGGTAAGCTACGAGGCTCCGATGTGTTCCACCACTGCGCAGCACGAAATGCAAAGAACATTAGAACCGCAACCGGGAGTCTCCTTATTACACCTGCCGATCATCTACATGAGGAGACCAAGGTATTTTCGGTGCGACAGCATAAAAACATATTTTCGATTCAAAACACACTTGGTGTTTTAAACAAAACCAACGAAATTACTATCTTGTGGATAAGAAAACTCCGCCAAGGCATGTAAGGAAAGGCCTTCATGGCCAAATAGATAGGTACAGAAGTATAAAGGAGAGTTCTTGGAACGACATATCTATCAATCAGGACTAAATAGTATTTATCTTATGCGGTCGTAGAAATTAGGGAGGACGAAGGGAAAGATTTACATTATCTAGAGATAGAAAGAGAGAAGAAGAGAGGGATAGAAAGTGATAGAGAGGTAGGGATAAATAGTATTCTGAAGCGGTCATCGAAGTAAGAAAAGACCTTATGGGGAGAGAGAGGTACAGTGGTATAAGATAGAGTCATTAGATCAACAGACCTATCAAGCAGGGATACATAGAATTCACTCTGATGCGGTGACAGAAGTTATAGAGGAATACAGAGTAAATACCATAATAGGAGATCACCCGCTTCCCACCACATATAAAACACGAGAGCTGTCACAAAAAGCCTGAGTAGTTTCGGCACAACTGTAATCATATAACGTAAGGAAAGACCTTCATGATCTAGAGATAGAAGGAGAGAGAGAGAGAGAGATAGATAGGTCTATCAGGTAGGGCTAAATAGTATTCACTCTGATGCGGTCATCGAAGTTACAGAGGACGTAAAAAAGACCTTCTGAAGAGAGAGAGAGGTAAAGTGGTATAAGATAGAGTCTATAGATCAATAGGATTATCAAAAAGGGATACATAGTATTCACTCTGATGCGGTCACAGAAGTTATATTCAACCACAGCTGAAAAACGAGAGCTGTCTCGAAAAGGCCTGAGTAGTTTTGGCACAACTGTGATCTGAATGGTGCACCCGCCTTAATTCGTATTGTGCTCGAATTGACAGCAGTGCGCAGAACACCTGTCAAACGTATGGCATACTCCCACAGAACACGCTGCACCCCTTTTAACTGCCTGCCAAAAGTACTCACTTAACCCCTGTCGCTATGGACTAGAGTTTGGGGTGGGGAAATAGATAAGAGTTTAAGGACGGGAATTCTCGACCCGAGATAATATTTTTTTAAATTTCCTGGAATACGGGAATTGTTATTTCTAAATATTTATAAACATATTAACAAAATGATGTGTCATAATTTTACCATTTGGAACGACTTTGAAAATTAGAAAAAAAAAAACGGAAATATATAAAAAATAGAATTCGTCAAATATTTTGTTAAAATCTTAAAAATACCGAATATAGAGAGTTACCTTTATTTTGGCATACGCAGACTGTAGTACCCATTACGAATACGAAATTTGAAACAATTCCGAATATAGGGAGGTACCGTTATTTAGGGACAATACAAAGACTTGGACCTGTTTGGGAACTTCAAATACGAAATTTGAAATTGTGGTGAATAATATCGCTAAAATCATCACAGGCTGTAGTACCCATTAAGAACTTCAAATACGAACTTTGAAACAATCCCGGTGAATAATGTCGCTGAAAACAGCAAAATACAGGATATAGGGAGGTACCGTTATAAGGTGGCTATACGAAGACGCCTGCATAGATAATTTTCTGTCACAGGCCGCAGTACTATTAGGGACTTCAAATGCGAAATTTGAAACGATTCCGGTGAATAATGATGCTAAAATCATCAAATTACCTAATATGGAGAGGTACCGATATAAGGGGTCTGTACAAGAACCTGGACCTGCGTTGACAATTTTATATCAAGGGCTATAGTACCCATTACGAACTACAAACACAAAATTTGATATAATTCCAGGGTCAGTAAAATCATAAAAATACCGAATATAGGGAGGAACAGTTATATAGGGGCTATACCAGAACGTGGACCTATATGGCTCATTTTCATTACCAAGAGTTCTGCTGACCAAACACTCATCTGAGTAAAATTGTATAAACCTGATTTAATTCATTCGGGATCTAAAGTGATTTCCATGACAGACCGACGGACATCGTTAAATCGATGTAGAATCTTATACTGATCATGAATATATACTTTGTAGGGTCTAAAATGTATATTTCGAGGTGTTACAAACGGAATAACCCAGAGCATTTTGACTCCCACTCATATTTTTCAAACAGGAGTACTTCTTCATAAATCAAAAGAGTGGAGAGTAAACTTCGTGTAATCCTCGTACTCTCGCGAGCAAAAACCAGCAAAACTGAGATCTACCAATAGCAGTATATTTGGCACCTTCTAATACTTTTCGAATCTTTCTAAAGCATTTCGAAATCTATTCATTTCTTTTTAATTACTTACATCAGCCACCTCATCTTCGCTAAGACTTTCTTGTTTCCTCGGCCTTTTCTCACGATTTGGTGAATTTAGACCTGAAATCAAAAAAATAAGATCAATTGGAGTGGATCCAATTACAATCACTCAAAGAATCTCAATGGCAACACTTACGTCGTGGCAAAGGTCTTACGGTCAACTCCTTCGTTGAATTCAGACTCTCCGATGACGAAGAACTGCTCGCCACCGCATGTCGAGTCAACAAACGTCTTTTTGGGCTCTTGCGGGTGGTTACTGTTATGGCAGGGCATGGATGGTGATGTGAGTGGCAATGCTTGTTGCAGACGTGACCAATGCTGCTGGGTGTCGTCGACGAGGTGTTCAACGACTCCTTTGACGGTACATCAAGTTGTTGTTTTGTTGGCGATTGTGTTGCAGAGCATTTCGATGATTTACGTTCACGTTTCTTGCTACTACTGCGTCGTTGATGGGTAAATGATTGCGCTGACGTACCTTTGCCATCGGACGATGGAAAATCGTACAGTCCATCGGAATCGGTGAACGGCAGCTGATCCTTGCGTCCATAGAAATGTGGTGAGAATCGGCCAATGCCGGCACGTTCGCTCAGAGGGCTTTCGGATCGCGAAGATACCGGTGACAGTGTCTTATCACCACATCCGTCAATTTGTATCACAATTGACGGCAGTTGCAGTTGGGCCATTTGCGGTGCACAGCTGGCTGTACACGCTCCCGACGACGAAGCCAAGGTGCAGGGCGGTGGTTCTTCCACCTCAATTAGTACCTCTTCATCCAAAAACATGTCAAATCGTCGATGGCTTAAACGGGTCTCATCCAATTTTTCGTCCACATGATCAGTGCCAATACCCTCGTCATTGGACTCTATTAGAATGTCATCGGAAAATGTTTCCGAATCTGATCGGGGACGATGGCTATGCAAGCGATCCGTTTTAGCACCACCAGCGGCCGCTGCTCCCGTGCACTTACCATTGCTGATGTTCTCCTTGCAACTTGGCAGCACCGAACTCTTTCGACGATTCATTAGATTGACATGTAAGGATAAACCCGCTCCCGAATGACCACTGCCCGGCGGCTCGTCCATTTCGTTGGGATAGAGGGGATTACTGGAGCCACAACGGCTTGGTCCAGGACTGGCCATGCTCGAGTAACCCGAAGAGCTGAGATTGCTCTCCGATATTGTGCGATCCGCACGAGTGCACATTGTAAACGGACTTAGATAGCACATGCCCACCGGATTGGGTGGCATTAGACCACCAGGGCCACTGCCACCACCCATAATTGTCTTGGGCGCCGGCGACAATGGTTCTGTGTCCGATTCAAGTTCGCTCATGTTCGATGTTACCGTTATCATGGGCGGCACAAAGGGAAAATCCAGAGATGTAGGTTTCTCAAATTGCTTTAAGAGCCTGTAAGAAAGATAGTTCAATACCAAGATGGAATATTAAATCTTAAATCTCAGATTGAAAATCGGTTTTTTGTTGGCATCCATTAGGATCTAGAATGAAAGTAGATTCATATTTACAGTTATATACATAGAGAAAACACAACATGGCGTTCGGCAAAAATACTCTACTGTTTTTTTTTTTTTTTTTTTGGAGAACAAAAAGAAAGGTTTACTAAGTTACTAAAAAAACAAGTTCGCAATAAAATTGTAATACTCAACATTTTTCATTTTGTATGTCTTTTGATTTTTTTGCTGAGATTCGCAAAGATATTTATGTTGGTTAGTTTGAATTGAGTTGTATTCTGTTGTCGTGTTTTGTTTTACTGTGTGTGTAGTTTGTGTTGAATGGAAATTCTTCAGAAAAAGATTGTTTAGAAAAATAAGTTGTCAGATAAAGCTTCTAGAACTAGTAGTATCAATCAAAAGCGAAATTCAAGTTCAAGGAGATTAGCCCAAATAAATAAAATTATAATAGATATATGTATTGTTTTGGTATGCCGAGAATAAAGAGTGTCCCTACTAGAACCCAATCGTGAAATTGGAAATCAGTATCTTGAAATGATAACCCTTTTTTTTCTTGTCTGGAATTGAAGAAATGAATGTGGCCCTGCCCTCCACATTCATTTCTTTAACAAGATGGCACCACATATCATACAACAAACAATTTAATTACTTCATCAGTCAATACCCGGTTGTGTCATTTCGTGTTTGGGAGACCAGAAATTTTCAACGACCGTTTTGCTTAAATGCTGCGGTATTTCATTAATGCAGCAACCAATTTCCTCTTTTAAGTCTTAATTCGTCGCCGTCTTATTCGCGTAAGCAATCGACTTCAAAATCCCCCAAAGAAAAAAATCTAAAGGTGGCGATTTTTGATTTCGATGGCTTACGCCATTAAGCTGGCGACGACTTAAAAGACATGGACGCTGCATTAATGAAATACCGTAGCATTTATGCGAAACGGTCATTGAAAATTTCATTAAAAGATCGCGTGTGTGCCAACATAGCCGCTGCGAGCATCTGCCCGATATCTTGTTTCATACATAACCTCATTCTGTCGTCTTTACTATATAATAAAGTTTTACAATTTACCTTAAATATTTGTGGTTTAGAACAGTGTTTGGCTTGTTTGTTCGGGATACCATAGTATTTTGTTGTTGCAAAATGGTCAGGCTTAATCCCTTTATTGTTGTTTTTATAAAAACAACGTTTGCTTATTATTGGAGGACGTCACTTGGGTAAAAATTGTTTTTTTTAAATAACTTCTGGGGAGAATATCCCAAACAAAAACCAGTAAAGAAAGTCTTCAAGTCGCGCGGGAACGACTTTATGATACCCTACACCACTTTGCTAATTTAGTAGAGCTCCACATAACAATTAAAAGTTTTTATGGGAGAATTCAATCACACACGCTATGATTATAATTATAATTTAAAGTTCAAAAGACTAAATTTGTATCTTTTAAATTCGGACTTGTATTGGCCATTTGATATATATGGGAGCTATATCCAAATCTGAACCGATCTTGATAAAATTTGGCAAAGATATTTTCTGGGCTGTATTTCATATATTTCCCTGAATATCGTTGTTTCGAATGCATATTACGGCGGCGGAGGACAAAAATAACAAATCGGATGAACAATATATATGGGAGCTTTAGCTATATCTGAACCGATTTCGATCAAATTTGGCATACTTATTTTCAGACCTAATCTGGTTGTATGTGCAAAATTCTATACTATTCGGGCTGATATTACACGTTTGGTGCACAATAAAAGGCAAATCGGACGAAGATATATATGGGAGCTATATCTAATTTTTTACCGATTATCTCCAATTTAAATAGGGTTCGTCCTTGGGCCAAAAAACTGATTTGTGCAAAGTTTCATCTGGATCGGGTAATAAATGCCAACTGTCCTTTGTTCAGAAAAATACATGGACAGAGGGACGGGCGGACGGACGGACATGCATAAATCGACTCAGGATGTGATTCTATGCAGATAATCAGAAGGAACTATGGGTCTATCTCGTTTCCTTTTGCCTGTTACAAATAAATGCACAAAGACATAATACCCTGACCACCTTGTGGTGTAGGGCATAAACAAGGAAACTGATGAGGATTGGTGACTCTTTCCGAAATTTGTGCTTAATTTAAAAATGAAGAAATGCATTATATTTGGGTTATTTATTTATTTGGGATATCTCCAGTTTGCTATATGGGGGCTATAGGAAAACATGGACCTACATATGCAATGATCTGCCCACGAGCTAGAACCAACTACGAACACCAAATTTAGATACATTAGTTGAAAATGTGGCTTAAATCGTCAGAATACCATATATCCGATGGTACCGTTATGTGAGTGCTATAGTTTTTCAGCCAGAGGTTGAAGAACACGTTACAAACTCTCAATACCATGTTTGAAAATATACCAAAATTTGGACAGATATATCTCATCAACAACACCAACTATTCTACACACAATACGGGCTATTTTACCAAGTTTCAAATCTTTACGTAAAATAATTTGGATTTTATCGCGATTTCAACAGACATTGTTAAAACTACTTAGAATTTTATGCTGATCATGAATATGTAAATTTTATGGGCTTTCCGTCAAAAATTTAGAGGTGTTACTATTGCAATGACAAATTTAATATACCCTCCTTTCCATGGTAGGGGGTATACAAATCTTGGCTTAATCTTGGCTCAATAGAACGTAAATAGGCAGCAAAAGCTAGCAATGTATCAAAGAAAAGTCGCAGTTTACGGGCAGGTAGCATTATTGGTCCATCCTTCTTCAAAAACACTACGAATGGAAGCTTAACTGCGAATTGTAAGCGCTACCGTGAGAGATGACATCCAACCTTTTTTGCCCAAAATGCAAAAACTTAACTTGCATGACACGTGGTTTCAACAATAAGACGAGATTTTTGAACATTTCATTTCACGTTCAGCACAAGCCAATTGGCCGCCTACATGGTGTGATTTAACGCATTTGGACTATTTTTTGTGAGGCTTCCATGAAATAATCTTCAAAAATGAAATTATATGAACGGTTGAAGCTAGAATTTTGAAATTGCACACGAGGGTCAGTCTTCGTGCGTACTTACAAAAAAATTAATACTTTGTATTTTTCGAACCGAATGACCTAGTATTCTCAAATTTGGAATGATAGCCACTGGCGGAGTGCAGGATAGATGTGCTAAATAGTTTTTGGAAATTCGAACTTTAAGGTTACAAAGAAGTTCTACAATGATACTAAACTTTTAAAATACTACCATTTTGTATTATGTGAATGGATAGAGCTAAGAACTTTAAATTTGGTATGACAATCGAGGTTGGAAAGTATGTTTGATATATGAAGTATATATACAACAAGTGCACGAAAAGTACTAAATAATACTTTAATAAGTACACTTTGGTGATGGGTGCACATATAAAGCTTTATATCTCAAATTTGACATTAGGGTCGCTTTTCATATGTAGCTTGGGCACATGGAGGTGGTTTCCTATAATTGTACTAAAAGTACTGAATGGTACTATATTTGCATATGGAGACTTTGAAATAGATTTGAATAGAAAATTTGCATGTGTGTCCATTTGTTTAACTAATATCCTTCTCGGAGAACTTCAAAATGCAAGATTTTTAAGAATTTTTGGTGTAAAGGGTGACAATTTTTTTTCTTTGCGAAAAAGGAATAAGTTAAATAGTATTTAAAACCTTGAAAATCGGAAAATTTAGTACCATGTACAGGGTGAGATGAAAAAACCGCAACCAAATTCAGACTGCTGTCACTTCTACGCCACTCATCCGACAGCTGTTAAAATTATTCCAGTGACAGCTCATTATATTGTATACAAGTGTAAAAAAGCATTTCGGTGAGAATTTTCCAGAAAAATGTTATTCGTGATGGAATTCAAGCGTGATAGTGTGATTTCTTTATATTTGACTGGAAAACCACAACTGGGTTATTGTTAGAGCATTCCAGCATTTAAATGTGAATAAATCTTTTGTGTCTCGTACCATCGCTCGTTACCGTGATACTGGTAGCGTAGCCCGACGTCAAGGAAGTGGATGGAAGAAAACAGCACCATCAGCAGAAATGGTTCGAAAAGAAAAGAAGCGACTTGATCGAAACCCGCGTCGCAGTGATCAAAAAATGGCTCGTTAGCTGAATATATCGCAATATTCCATTCGGGAAATATTAAAAAAAATTCCAAAAAGTGTAAGAACTTACACCGCAACAGAAAGGTTTATTATTTGGAATAATTTGCAAAATATAACGTTGCACATAAAAAAATTCAACAGATAGTCCCCTCCCCTTGTTATATCGGTGAGAATATGAAACAAAATATTTATTTCTAATATATTGTTGTCAACCTTAAACAATGTTGCACGATCAACATAAAGATTGCTATCAAAGGTAACAACGAAATATTGCGTACATAGCTAAATAAGATTTTGTTAAATTTTGATACCTTTAAAAGGCCTATTTGAATTGAAATATATATTAAATAAATACTATTTTCCTTAAAAATTTACTTTTGATATGGATGATTGGGTAAAAAAAAATTTGGCAGTACTGACCTGATTACGGCCACACACTGCAATATGACATTATGATTTGTTCAGCACTGACAAGAACACACCTGGTTTCTGCAGTTTCAAAGCGTTGGGCCTGTAAGCATACAAAAAATGGTTGGAGGCCATTTTATTCAGAAATTTCTTTTTTCAGAGTGTAGAGGCTTTGGGAGTAGATAACTAAATGGACTTTCGAAAATAAGGGGAACTTAAAAGAGGGACTCATATTTTGTACCTATTAGATCTACTACAGTGCAGCTCCATCCTAAACTTCGGCAAATTTATTGTTTTTTCCACAAAAGTCTTGTGGAATCTTTACATTCTCCTTAAGAGGCAAGAGGGGAAGAGCAATGAAGACAAAATATATTTTTCCATAATTTCAGCAAAATCTCGTTAGATTATGAAGGTAAATCTAAAAATTCCATATATCGGTATTTTGAAAATTGACATTGTCAAGTAACCTAAATAGATGGGACATGTTCCGCCACCTTTTTAAAACGTTGGAATAAATATTCCTTAGAATCCATGTATTTTAGGTATATAGTCTATTCTGCAATATTACTGATAACAGTACGATGGTTATTTAAGACGAAAAATTTAAACCTCAAATGAGTAACCAAAGGGGTCTTTTTGGCTATTGTGCTCAAAAGTTTAAACGGTTGCCTAGGAAGTCAAAGTATTCTGCAAAATAATTACTGATAAAATTTTATTATAGGTCAGTATATATCAACACTCTAAATTTCACCTAAACGATATTAAAATTAAAATAATTTTAGGATTACAATCGTACTCGCTATGAGTTTATGCAAATTTTCCTTACAAAATAACATTTTAGAAAGATGATGTCTTAGGCAAAACATTTCCTTAATCGAATTTTACTATAAAATAACCTAAGAAAAAAATCTATGTTTTTGTTATATATAAAACAAACAGTTGTTTCAATTTGTCATATACGGTAAATATTTTTATGTTTTAATGGTTTGTTCTTCTGCTTTTTTTTTTGAGTTGATGTATGAAAGTATAATAAAATTTCGCTTTAGACAGAAAGTTTCAGAGGAAGAATTAGAAGCAAAATTTCACAATTACTTTCGGAGTAAACTATTTTTAACAAAATTACATTGAAATTTAATATATAAAAAGTAGAAATTATAAGTTCATGATGATTTTATTCCTTTCTAATCCGTATCAAAATATCCCATAATACTTAAATGTTTTGGGGAAATTTTCTAAGTAAAAATTATTTTAGATCACATTTGTAAAAAGGTAAAATTAATTTGAACCATAAATACTATCATTAATTTAGTTCGGAATCTCAGTCCAAAATTTTTAGGGACTTTATATAACAGCCCAATATTTTGCTCCTTATTTCGCAACGTTAACAACATAGGCCATTGAAAGTTTATAAAGAGCTTTGGATTATATCTGTAATCATTAGCTTAAAAATGGTTCATTTCTTCTGGCTTTTAGGTATAGCCCCTATATAGGGCCCAATTTCTAGTGTTTTTAGAGTTTTAGTTTTAATTTTTATTCTGAAGAACTTCCTTCTGGTACATCCTCCGCAAATGGTCAAAATTTTCAAAATAATATTTTACTGCACAGAAAGAGAAAGAAAACTCCGATTTTGCTCCATCTTTGCAAATCCTAATAGCTCAGTCAGCAAATCAGTAATAGGTAAGGTGCGAAAATGGACAATATTGGTCCACTTCATCAAGTACCTCCCCCACAAAGGGTTACAATTTTGAATAAATATAACAATTATGAAATGTGATGTAAGTGTCCGATTTTTTTTAACTTACACGCATCTCAAAATTTTTATTAATCCAAGGTCTGGTGTGAAGATGGAATATATCGGTCCACTCCTTCTGGTAATTTCCCCACAAAGGGTCAACGTTTTGAATATCAATGAAGACCATAAAACGTGAAATTAATATCCGATTCCATTTAGCCTTGATTCATCTCAATATTTCCATCAACACAAGATCTGTTATAAAGGTGGTACAGATCGGACCAATCCTTCTGGTACCTCCCACACAAAGGGTTAAAATTTTGAATAACCAAAACCATCGTAAAATCTAAAATAAGCATCGGTTTTTCTTAAAATTACATACATCACAATATTTTTATTAGCTCAGGATCTGATGTGAAGATAGGGTATATCGGGTCAAAATTTTATTATCCTTGGAGCTCATAAAACGCGAAAATAATTCCATTCAGATTTGATACATCTCCATATTTCAATCAACACATGATCCGTTATAAAGATGGTAGAGATCGCACCATTTCTTCTGTAACCTCTTCCACATAAGCTTCATGATTTAAAAAAACGCTCAAAGAAAGCGAACTAAGCATCCAAATCCATCTGTTCATCTCCTCAAATTTCCCACACACAAACATTTTTGCTGGCACAAGATCTGTTGTGAAGATGATATACATCTGCCAACCCCTTCTGGTACCTCACCCACAAAGGGTCACCATTTTCCAATACTTATATCTGTCATAACATGCGAAACAAGTCGGCGATTCTTTACAACTTTCTATATCTAAGTATTTCACTTAACCTGAAATCTGATATGAATTTATGATTTCGCATGAAATTGGATATAAATGTTTGATTTCCTTCAAATTTTGCACATACCAATATTTTTATTTGTATTAGATGAAGTATGAGAATGGGTCCGCTATATCCATTACCTTACGCATATTTCTACATTTTCCAAAAATGTTCACATGTCTCATAAAAAGTATTGGAAGTAGTCGATATAGTCCAAATCTGGCACGTTCTAATATTTATATTAATCTAAGGAGAGCAACGAATTGGTCAATATTGGCCAACTACTTCCAGACCTCCTCCATTTAGAGTCAACCGTTTAAATAATCATAAGTTAAGGCTGTGGTATACATCTGTCGGCAAAACCGACTGATACTTTTTTAATTGTTTCTATAAATTTAAAAAAAATCCTCCTTTTATTGCAGGTTCTAGAACACAACTTATGACAAATGTCCTCCGTTATATGCTGGAGGACATTAAGAGGTATCAATTGTTACATACATAAAACTATTCCCCCTTGTGTGTCGAAACATTGTAGCTTCGTTGTTCGGCATACCAACACGTAATAAAACTAAAAATCACAGAAACAAATAAAATATTTAAAAGACTATAATATTTAATAGAAAATAACTAATGTTTAAACAAAACTTGATCCACAAACATATCTATGGGCCAAGAGAACTATAGGCAGACAGCCAACACTAATAAGTTAGTGTACCATATGGAGGAGAGCAGCATACACAAAAAGGATTGAACCAAACAAACGAAACGTAAAGGAACATTAAACAAACAACGACAACGGGATCTGTTGGATCTGTTTTGTTTGAGGAAGCATTGTGTCTCTCTACTTGTATACCTTTTTTGTTGTTGCTTATTTGGAAACATAAAACTGGTTTCACCTATGCTGGCTCGTTGCGGTGGCGGCGATCCGGGAAATATAATCATTGGATGGCGATTCTTTGTCGGACTTGGCTGTTCCACCGTCAATGTTGGTATTATGAGATCGCGTGGTCGTGCCTGTTTCTCCTCGGGTGTTGGTGGTTCCACGTCGATGGTAATGGCGGGCACTGGTATCTGTTGGATGACGGGTGCAGCTGTTACCGCTACAGCTGGTGTTATACTTAGCATGGGTAGCTTGTGATAGAGGCCCAAACCACCAGCACCACCACCTCCACTTGTGGTGTTCGATGTTGGCTTGTTGAGTTCAGCCATTGACGTTGTTGTGGTATCCGTGGGTGCTGTTTCCACATCTGAATCGATGAGTCGTGATGATTTCTCCTTTTGCAGGCCAATTATAAGTTTTTCCTTTAAAAACAGAAAACAGAAAGAGAAAGCAAACCATAGATATATTAATAATAAAAAAACATATAATTATCACAAATTGCATTAATGGTTTTTTTAGCTATCTATCGAACATGTTTGTGTCGGTACTATCTAAGTGACTAATATTTATATGTAAATTTATATATTTATTGTATATTAGTGAGTATTTCAAGAAATTTGGTGTAAAGCTAAAAATCTAGTATTTTTTTTTAACTCTAGCCGGTTGAGGGGGGCGGGATAAAAACTATAGCAAAAATTATGACATTTCTTAGGCAAAACAAAAAACGAATATCAAAAACAATGCATCATTGCCTTTCAACTGAACCATTTTCTTGTTTCGTGTTTATTGCCAAATTCTATGACAATACCGCCATCAGAATCAACCTAAGAAAATATTTAAATAAATAAAATTGACACATTAACATTTTAATAGATGCAAAAAGATATGTGTTTGTTGTTGATGTTGTCTTGGACAATCTAATGAGAGAAAGCAATGATTTTCAAAACAATTCTAGCCATAATGTTATGCAGAAGTTTAAAACAATCGCTCTTCTTAAACAAATTGTAATTTTTTTTTAAGAAATTTGTTTAAAAAAAAATATTAAATTTGGGTAATACTGAAAATATGAGCATCATATTCATATTTAATTAATATGAATTTTTATATACTAAGTATTAGTTATCTTCGCCTAAAGAACCAGAATGCGTAAAATATAACTTATAATAAAGCGGGTCTTTAAATCTATCCTATTTACCGTTAAAACTGAAAATCACAGCATTGAAATTCAATTTAATCTACATTCGTAATTTTAACAAGTTAAAAAACACTAAGTTCGGCCGAGCCGAACTTTGAATACCCTCCACCATTTGGAATGAATTTGGAAATTTTCAAAAAATAAAATCCTTAAAAAATTCTGTTTAAATTTTAAAAATACCAAATATAGCCGTTTTATTGGGGTCTATACGACGTGGACCTACAAAGGCATTGTTTGTCATAAGCCATAACCATATTCAAATTCGATAACTTGAAATATACGGTGAATAATGTAAATAAAATCATCAAAATATTGTATATAGGAAGGTACCGTTACATCGGAGCTGTGTGAATACCTGGACCAGCCAGACAATTTTCTATCAGAGGCTGTAGCATCCATTACGAAGTTTAAATACGACATCTCAAACAATATCGATGGGTATTGTACCTAAACTAGTCAAAATGCCGAATAGGAGGTACAGTTATATGGGGGTTATACGAAGACGTGGACATGCACAGACAATTTTCTGCCTTAGGCTGTAGTATCCATTACGAACTTCAAATACCAAATTTGAAACAATTCCGGTGAATAATAACGCTAAAATCATCAAAATACCGAATATTGGGAGGTACCGTTATATGGGGGCTATACGAAGACGTGGATCTGCACAGACAATTTTCCGTCTTAGGCTGTAGTATCCATTTCGAACTTCAAATACCTAATTTGAAATACTTCCGGTAAATAATGTCGCTAAAATCATCAAAATACCGAATATCGGGAGGCACCGTTATATGGGTACTATAACAAAACGTGGACTTACATGACCCTTTTTCAATACCAAAAGTCCTGCAGATACAATACGCATTTGAGTAAATTTTTATCAACCTACTTCATTTCGTTCGGAAGCTAGAGTGATTTCCACAGACGGTCATACTATGGTGGAGGGTATAATAAAACTTATTTTTAAACTTATACTCTTTACCGTTGAAAACTGAAATGAAATCACAGTGTTGAACATGTAAAAAAAAAACACCTAAGCTCGACCGGGCCGAACTTTTAATACCCTTCACCATTTGGGAGAAACTGGAAAAACTTTAAAACCATTTCGTCCAAAAATACCTACATATGGGGGGCTATACGAAGACAAGGATCTGCATAATTTTTATATCCTCTACCATAGTATGGAGGGTATATTAAGTTTGTCATTCCTTTTGTAACACCTCAAAATATACTTTTGAGACCCCACAAAGTATATATATTATTGATCAGCATAAAATTCTATGTCGTTTTAGCGATGTCAGTCCGTCTATGGAAACCACTCCAGCTTTCGAACGAATTAAAGTAGATTGATAAAATTTTACTCAAATGTATGTTATATCTGCAGGACTATTGGTATTGCAAATGGGTCATGTAGGTCCACGTTTTGGTATAGTCTCCACATAACGGTACCTCCCGATATTCAGTATTTTGATGAAAAAGGAATATTTGGAACGTTTTTGTATGTTTGATACGAAATTCGCAAACTTTTCGAATGTTTGATCTGAAATTCGAAAAAAAAAATCTGAATCTGTTTTATAGTTTTATCCGAAAGTTATTCGAAAATGGGAGAAATATTGAATGTTTGATCCGAAATTCTGGAAATTCGCGGATTTTTGATCCGAAATTCGGAAAATTTTCGGATAATTGATTCGAATTTCGAAAAGAAAGATGAGTATTTTCGATATTTTTATCTGAAAAAAGTAAAAATTAGCGAAATTCAGCTGGGCCGAACTTTTATTCCTTCCACCATTCGCAAGGAACTTGAAAAATAAAAAAAGATCCGTCGAAAAATACCGCTCAAATGAAAACCTTTATATGGGGGCTACATGAAGACGTGGTAACGATTCCGAACCTCAAATACGAAATTTGACGCAATTCTGGTGAATTATGTCGCCAATATCATCAAAATACCGAATAAAGAGAGGTTGTATGGGTGCTATACAAAGACGTGGACCTAAATAGACAATTTTCCGTCGTAGGTTGTAGTAATCGGTACGACCTTCAAATACGAAATTTGAAGCAATTCCGCTTAATAATTTCTCAAAAATCCTAGATATACCGAATATCTCGGGGTATGGGTCCTCTACTAAAATTAAGAGCTATGTAGACAATTCACTTCCAGGGAGTAAAGTACTCAGAGGCAAAACATTGTGTGGATTTTAAGACTATTTCAAATAAAAAATGTGGCTAAAATCATCAAAATATCGAATATCGGGAGGCACAGTTATATTGGGAAATACAATATCGTATAGATAAATCTATCAAGGGGTTAGGAACTCCTTGTGTGGATTTTAAGCCAATTCCATTGAAAAATGTGGCTAAAATCATCAAAATACCCAATATAGCAGGGGACCTATATAGACAATTCTCTTTCAGGGGGTAAAGTAATCACAGTGACCTCCACTAAAAATGTGACCAAAATTATCAAAACACCAAATGTCTGGAGGTACAGTTATATGGGGGATATACGATATCGTGGACCTATATAGAAAATTCTCTTTTAGGGGTTAGGTACTCAGAAGAAACTCCTTGAGTGGATTTTAAGCCAATTTCATTGAAAAATGTGGCTAAAATCATTAAAATACCCAAAATCGCGGGACACCATTGTATGGGGGCTATACGATATCGTGAACCTATATAGAGAATTCTCTCTGGGGGAAAGTACTCACAGAGATCTCCTCGTAAAGAATTTCAGACCATTCCATAAAAAATTGACTAAAATCGTCAAAATACCGAATATCGGGAGGTGCTGTAATATGGGGGATATACGATATCGTGGACATATATACACAATTATTTTTCAGGGGGTAAAGCAGTCACGAGGAACTCCTTGTGTAGAATTTCAGACAATTCCATTGAAAAGTGTGGTTAAAATCATCAAAACACTGAATATCGGGGGTGTTGTTATATGGGGGCTATATGACCTGCCTGCTGACAAAAGACTGTTCGGAGCAAAATGTTGGCTTCCTATCTTTATTCGTTTTGACTCTCCCTCCATACTATGGTGCAGTGCATAAAAACCTTTGGTACATCTATCCTACACCCCTTAAGCAACCTCAATCCCAAATTTTAGCTCTATCCGTTTGAACAAGACAATGGATTAATTGTTAAATACCTTTTATTACTTATAGTTCGAATTTACGAAGACCCTGCCCAAACTTACTCTAACACACATTGGTTTAATAAAATTTGTCCCATGCTTCAATGTCGAAAACAAACAACCTTAAATTGAGTCAATTTTTCCAGTAATGAAAGTAATTGGAAAATATTACAAACTAAAAAAAAAAACATCAATACTATATTTCGATATTTCTTTAAAATCCGACTCTACGAACAGGAACATTCAATGTATAACTCTATTGGGGGGGTCTCTAAATTTCCTCCCTTTTCGAAATCCTACTTACCGACAAATGTGTATCACTGGTATCGCTCTTATCGTCATCGTCACTAAAGTCACCACCCGACAGCGGATCTTCTTGGAATATCGGGCTGTTGGAACGATGGCCACGCTGCATTATCGGCGTCAGGGCTGGCGATGGTATTGGCGTGGGCATTTCCCGTATTGGCGAGAGGCACTTATTGTTAATGCCACTGCTTGGAATCTCAAGCAATATTGTCGGTGGGTGGAGGAGATTATTCGATGACGATGAGGTCGATGATGACGGCGATGTGCTCTTGTGCGCATTGAGAACATCTAGAACAGGCACTTCGATAGTTGTCTGGCGATAGAAAACAGGCGAATCGGGAGGACCACTTGAAAAGCTGACGGGTGTGTGCATGGACGATGTCGACGATTCATCATCGCCGGGTGCATCATCCTGGGGACTGGAAACGGTTGGTGTCGTGGAAGGTGAAACGAATACCGAGGCCGATGTTGATGGCATTGTGGCCGTTGTTACATTCGAGGTATTTGCGGCAGCAAAGTTTCTAAACATGGCCAAGATGGAATCGGCACTGGACACCTTGGGTCGGGCCGGAGAGCCAATGCGACAACGTGGTGGCGGCAAACCCATTGTTAGGCCACTTAGCTGATTGTTGTTGGTGCTGCCCATTTCACTGCCGCTGGTTTGTATGGAACGCAAACCGAAATCGGTTAATGCCAGATCGGAACTTGAAAAGGAATCACTGCCATGATTGGAAGTGGTGCTGTGCGGTGAGCGTATGTCATTGGTGCAGGGTGATGGTGGCATGGAACTAGCTCGCAATTGTATATCTGTTGGCAGGCTAAGGGCACTAGAGTTACGAGTTGCCTGTTGGGAGTTGGAGGGGTAATTTAGAAAAGAAAAATACATTTAAAGGGTTTTCACATGAAAATCTCTTGTTCAAAGGAAAACACAAAGAAAATTGATTTTCCTTAAAAAAAACTAAAAACAAAATAAAAAACATATTTTAGCCATTACTCTAAAGACAATAAATCACACAGCGTGTTTATGATTCTCAGACAAACAGGTTATGCTCAAAATGTGAGAAAGGTGTGTCAACAAATGCGATTTTGAGTTTTTTTTTTTTAATTCTCTAAGTGTTCAATGGAAAGTAGTTGGTTTTCATTTGGAAAAGTGTTTTTCTTTCGTATGTACGTGTGTCATTTGCAACTACATGATTGATGGCTACAAAGAAGAAATTTCATTGCCATGGTGCTCTTCAAATGATGATCGCAAATTAGTTTTGCAAATTAGAATTCTGTACAAATAGTTTGTGCTCTCGTTTTTTGGGTGAATTTTTTTAATTTAGTTTTGACATAGATTTCAATACTTTTCTTTTTGGAGAGTTTCTTTTGTTTTCTTTTTTTGAGTTTCATTGTGTTTTCAGACAAATGCCTCCTTTTCTTCTTCGTTGCTGGGATGAGTTCGTATGTAGAGACTCTTTGATTTTGCCTGAGAATCATAACCCTTTTAAATGATGTAATAAAAAAAAAACAAACAAACAAATTTTTGAAAATATAAAATTATGATGAATGAAATTCGTTAAATGTACTGAAAATAATCTAGGATTGTAAAATATTTCATATGAAAGTAATCTACACCGTATACTAAGGTCTACAATTTAACAAGGAATCATCCTAGAAATGCTAGGAAAGTTCATCGCTTTTCTTCCTTGGTCAGATTCATCGACCCGCTGAGCCTTGCAATAACTTAAACCAGGAGGAATATAACTGCTGAACCAAAGCTACAGGTTGAGATAAAAAAATGCCACAAAGTCAAACGCCATAACTTTTACATTTTTTCTAAATTTTGTTGAATGAAAGCAAAAAAATGTTGGGAATAGCATCAAATTTTAGAATAAGTTTAGGTTTGTTCGAATTGGTCACCTTTGGCAAGAATTGTGGCCTTGAAACTGCAATTGAAATCGGCACACGCTGCTCGAATGTTTGGCCCATTCCCGGCGAAGAGCTTGCTTGAGTTAATCGACACATTGGTATTTTTCAGTGCCAACCTTGCTTTCCAAAATACTCCGGACACAATAGTCCAACGGATTGGTATCCGGAGATAACTGGCAAATTCTCGCTTTCGGGAAAATTCTCGCCAAAATACTATTGTACACTTGTAAACAATATAATGAGCTGTCACTGGAAGAATTTAAACAGCTGTCGGACTAGAAATGATATCAGTCTGATATTGGCTGCAGCTTTTTCATCTCACCCTGTATATTGACATTTTTTAAAAGCATTTCTATATAATAATATCTCAAAATGCCAAAACTTGAGCAAAACTAAATAGAAAATATGACCACAACAAAAACCAGTAAAGAAAGTCTTAATGTCGGGCGGGGCCGACTTTATGATACCCTACACCACTTTGCTAATTTAGTAGAGCTCCACATAACAATTAAAAGTTTTTATGGGAGAATTCAATCACACACGCTATGAGTATAATTACAATTTAAAGTTCAAGAACTATATCTTGATAAAATTTGACAAAGATATTTCTGAGCTGTATTTCACATATTTCCCTGAATATCGTTGTTACGGAGTGCATATTACGACTGTGGGTAACAAATATAACAAATCGGAAGAATAATATATATGGGAGCTATAGTTATATCTGAACCGATCTTCAACAAATTCGACACACATGCTTCTAGACTCAAATCGGTCGCAAGTGCCAAATTTCATCCAATTTGGGCAAATATTAGACGTTTGGTGCACAATCAAAAGTAATCGGACGAAGTTATATATTGGAGCTATATCAAAATCTGAACCGATCTCGATAAAATTTAGCAAATATATTTCTGAGCTGTATTTGATATATTTCCCCAAATATTGTTGTTGCAGAGTGCATATTACGGCTGCGGAGGACAAAAATAACAAATCGGATGAACAATATATATGGGAGCTATAGCTATATCTGAACCGATTTCGATCAAAATTGGCATATTTATTTTCAGGTCCAATTTGATCGTTAGTGCAAAATTCCATACTATTCGGAGTGATATTACACGTTTGGTGCAAAAAAAAAAGGCAAATCGGACAAAGATATATATGGGAGCTATATCTAAATTTTTACCGATTATCTCAAATTTCAATAGGGTTCGTCCTTGGGCCAAACAAATGTTGTTTGGAAAATTTCATCTCAATCGGATAATAAATGCGACCTGCATTTTGTTCACAAGAATACATGGACAGACGAACTGACATGCATAAATCAACTCAGAAAGTGATTCTATGGAGATCCTCAAAAGTAACTATGGGTCTATCTCGCTTCCTTCTCCATGTTACAAACAAATGCACGAAGACATAATACCCTGACCACCTTGTGGTGTAGGGTATAAAAATTCAGAATGTAACCATTATATTAGGGTCTATTCGACGGCGTGAATATATGAATGTACTATTATAAGGGGCTATACCAAAACGTGGACCTGAACAGACAATTTTTGTACGAATTTCTATAACCAAATTTGAAACAAATCCGGTGAATAATGTATCTAAAATCATCAAAATACCGAATATAGGGAGGTGCCATGGGGGTTATAAAACGTGGACCTGCACAGACAATTTTCTGTCTTAGGCTGTAGTATCCATTACAAAATTCAAATACCAAATTTGAAACAATTCCGGTGAATAATGTCGCTAAAATCATCAAAATACCGAATATCGGGGGGTCTATACGAAGACGTGGACCTGCGCAGACCGTTTTCTGTCTTAGGCTGTAGTATCCATTACGAACTTCAAATACCAAATTTGAAACAATTCAGGTGAATAATGTCGCTGAAATCATCAAAATACCGAATATCGGGAGGTACCGTTATATGGGGGCTATACGAAGATGTGGACCTACATGGTCCATTTTCAATATCAATAGTTCCGCAGATATAATATACATTTGAGTAAAATTTCATTAACCTACTTCATTTCGTTCGGAAGCTAGAGTTATTTCCACAGACGGATATGCTGATTAAGAATATATATATTTTTTTTGGGGTCTAAAATGTATATTTCGAGGTATTACAAACGGAATGACAAACTTAATATACCCTCCATACTATGGTAGAGGCTATAAAAACAAATAAAAATCAGTAAGTCCGAACTTTCAATCCCATCCAATATTTGGAACGAATTTGGAAATTTTCAAAAAAAAAAAAATAAATAAATAAATAAATAAAATAAGTTAAAAATTTTATTAAAATCTTAAAAATACCGAATATGGCCGCATATTGAGAGATACCGGTATATAGGCTGTAGTTCCTATTACGAAGTTATATGAAATTTGAAACAATTCCGGAAGAAGTGTCGCTAAAATCGTCAACACCTCGAATATCGTGGGTACCGGGGGGTATGGGGGACTCAGCACACGCCGCCCAAGAATGGTTACAAAATAAGGTTTCTCACTTCATTCCCAGCGCATAATGGCCACCAAAATCTCTGGATACCAATCCGTTGGACTATTGTGTCTGGTGTATTTTGAAAAGCAAGGTTGGCACTAAGAAATACCAGTGTCGATCACCTCAAGCAAGCGCTTCGCCGGGAATGAGCCAAAATGACGCAGAGGAAGGTTCGGACAGCGTGTGACAGTTGCATTGGCCGTTTGAAGGCATAATTCGTGCCATAGGTGATCAATTCGAACAAATCTAAACTTGTTCTAAAATTGTCTGCTATTTCCGATATTTTTTGCTTTCATTCGATAAAATTTAAAAAATGTAAAAATTATGGCGTTTGACTTTGTTGCAGTTTTTTTTAACACACCCTGAATGTGGGAGCTAGTTCTAAATGTAAACTGATTCTAATAAAAAATATTGTTTGGAAAATTTCATCTAATCGGATGACCTGCCTTATGTTTACAAAATAAATGTACAGATGGACGGACGGACTGACATGCATAAATCGACTCAGAAGGTAATTCCATGACGATCCTCAAAAGTAGCTATGGGTCTATCTCGCTTCCTTCTCCATGTTACAAACAAATGCACAAAGACATAATACCCTTACCACTATGTGGTGCAGGGTATAAAAAAATAATTTCAGTCAGGTGAAGTAAATATATCTAAGCTATAACTGTACGTCAAATATTACGTATTTGCACAGTGAACTGGAATTCGGTCGATACTATATTCAAATCTGATCCCGATCTCTCTTGTATCAAACATGAGTTTTATGGTGTGCATACGACGGCTTTGAAGGACTTCAATATCATATAATATTTAAACATAGACCTATAGGACCCAATAGGGTTCAAACAAACAGGCGGACTCAGAGTATGATACTATGGAGACACCAAAAATAATAGTACCTCTCTCATGTCTGGTTGCAAGCTTCAGCCAAATGCACAAGACATAAACAAATGCAGCGACCAGTGCGGAATAGCGCTAAAAAACGGAGTTAAATTCCGCCGTTTCGAACTTTTATTTACACTTGACCTTCAGTCATCCCCGAAACTCTAAAATTTGGCGATTCCGCTATATTAATATTGATTTTTTCTTAAAGCATTTAATCTTCCATAACTATTAAATTACCACTGATTTTATTTGTTCTTTGGTTATGGAATCTTCAGTGCATTTTCTTGCGAGATGTAAAACTACCCTCTGAGAAGCCAGAAAGCCAACTGCAGCTTGTTTAATTTAAATTGGAATACCGGAAGTCAGTAGGTACCGTAATATGAATGCTTTGCCCATCTACTACAGACAACTGAAGAGACTAAATTATTACTAACTGGTTGGAGTTTGGTGTAGAAACACATCGAAAATCGGTAGCTATTCCTGAACTGAACACCCTAGAAATAATAGCAATGCCTGTTCAAAAATTCGGGACTAGATCTTCAATAGTGTAAGATTTACTGAGATCATGAATATATATATTTTATGGGATCTTCGGAGTTGCAAACGGCATAACAAATTTAATATACCCTCAATTTTATCGTGAAGGGGAATTTTAAAAACTTTCCATTCCTAAGTTTCGAAGCCTATGTAGTTATTTTCGCTATGGTGTAGATTACTTGATTAAATAAATAAAAAATCTATTTAATATAGTTGTTTATATAAATTAGCTTCTAAAAAAATTAAATACGATTACTTCTTTCTGTAATACAAAAACAAATACCTCTGATCCCGAACTCATTTCAGCTGAAACCTTATTCAGCAGCCTGGCAAATGTTACTTTCTTCTCCAGTTTGGGATCATTGATGGCACGCTCGACAGTGGCCGACGTTAAGGAACCGGTGTTCTCGGAAAATGTTGTCTCCTTTTGATCACTCTCTGAGTCGATGGTGCCGCCGGCGCTGCCGGCATGTAAACGATTCTCCGACAATGAAATCAATTCACCCAAACTTACTTTGGGCTTTGACGATTGGGCAGCCGGTGAGACAAGCTGTTGGAGGATTTGTTTCTTTTCGGCAGCATTTTTCTTAACAGGTGTAGAATTGTTGCGCTTCTTGCGAGGTGATGGTGAACCTGTGAGCGATTAAGTGAGAAAAACACACAGAGAGGGGGAGAGGGAAAAAGACAGAGAGACGGAGAAAGAGAAAGAGAGAGAAAATAGCATATAAAAAATTAACAAAATTTTGGGAAAATTGTTTGTATTCAAAATTTATGTTTTTTGTTGTAGAATTACTATTTATGTTGATTTGAACTTAAACTTTTAAACATCGAAGTAAAATGAAACTGAAATCTAGAAACAAATGAGAGTTGATTGTAGAAGTTTTAGTTTTTAAGGAAGAATATTGGAATTTTGCTTGGCACTACATTTGATTTGGGAAAGTCATCTACGAAAGAAAGAAAAAACTAGTTTGCTAAAGCTAAAAAATATGAAAAAAATAAAACTATTTATATTTGGGAAAAAAGGCAAAGGAAATGATGGCCATGCAAAAATAAGATTTACTACAAAAAATATTTTTTTATTTTTTTTCTCTGGAATAAATGCTTTAAATATATTCTGAAATTAAAAAAAATAAGCTTCGTATTGGGGTAGAATTAATTTTTTATGAGAACTATTTTTCAAAAAGCACAAACACAACCCAGCAACAATTTGGAAGCCCCATGAGGCGGAAACCCCCTTGTAAAAATAATAGGTTAGTAGGTTGATTTGTAAGTAGTTTAGACTATCAAAAATTGCTAAGGAAACCCATTATCAAGAGAGAAAGAGAGAGAAAGAGAGAGAGAGTCAAAGCGAAGAATGAGCCCTATTTTTAGTCCAGTTGTTATTATTACAAGTTAAATGGAATAAGTCGGTATTGTCGACAGCTGCATACCCTCAGTCAATATTCGGTTATTTAAATATATTTTGACTTGAGTTACGATTATTCAAACTTTTGACCCTTCAAAGGATAGGTTCCGACGGAGTGTGCCAATAATTTCCATTTCGTATCTGACATAAGTCTGATAAAACTATTAAAACGTATCACATTTGGGCTTTTGATAATACTTCGAAAAGTTCGCGTTTTTTGAGTGTATTGTGGGGGAGGTGCCAGAAGGAGAAGTCCGATATTGTTCATCTTCACAACACGGCTTGTGTTGATAAAAGTATTGCGATGTGCCGAGTTTCAAAGTAATCGGATGCTCATTTCTCGTTTTATGTGTTTAATGTCTGTTCCAAATTTTGACTCTTTTTGGGGTGGGAGGTACTAGAAGAAGCGGCTTGTTCAATCCGTTCTTCTTACCAGACCTTGTGTTAGTGGAAATATTGAAATGTGCGAGATTTGAAGATAATCGGACTCTTAGTTCAAATTTTATAAACGTTATAATTAGTAAAAATGTTGACCCTTTATGCGGTAGGTACCAGAGGGGGTGGTCCGATATCTACGATCTCCAAACCAGATCTTTAGTAAACAAAAATATTTGAAAAGAAACGGATGCTCATTTCGCGTTTTGCGAGTTTCATGGGTATTCAAAACTTTGACCCGTTGTTGGGGAGGTACCAGAAGGAGTATACCAATATAATTCAGCTTACCACCATATGTTTTGTTCACAAAAATATTTTGATGTGTGAAATTTGTAGACAATCGGACTCTTACTTGACCCTTTGTGGGGGATGTACCAGAGGGAGTGGTCCGATATCTACCATCTTCACACCAGATCTTTTGTTAACAAAAATATTTGGATGTGTGAAATTTAAAAATAATCGGATGCTCATTTCGCGTTTTAAGAGCTTCATGGATATTCAAAAATTTTGACCCCTTGTGGGGGAGGTACTAGAAGGAGTATACCGATATAATTCACCTTCACATCAGATATTTTGTTTACGAAAATATTGGGAAGTAAGAAATTTGAAGACAATCCGACTCTTATTTCATATTTTATTCGAGCTATAATTATACGAAATTTTGAGCCTTGGTAGGGTGATACCTTCCTGGGAGTGGTCTGATCTTCACACCAGATCTCTTGTTAACAAAAATATAGGGATGTGTTAAATTTGTAGTCAGACTCTTATTGCTACATTTTATTCGAGTTATAATTATTCGAAGTTTTAACCCTTTGTGGGGAAGGCACCAGAGGCAGTGGTCTGATATCTACCATCTTCAGACCAGATTTCTTTTGTTAACAAAAATATTGAGAAGTGTGGAATTTGAAAACAATCGGCTGCTCAGTACCAGAAGGAGTACACCGATATATTCCATCATCCCAACAGATTTTCTGATAACAAAAATATTGGAATGTATGAAATTTGAAGACAATCCTACTATTATTTCACATTTTATTAGAGTTATAATTATTTGAAATGTTGACCCTTTGTGGGAAGGTACCAGAGGGAGTAGTCTGATATCTACCATCATCACACCAGATCTTTTGATAACAAAAATATTGGGATGTGTCAAATTTGAAGACAATCAGACTATTATTTCACATTTTATTCGAGCTTTAATTATTCGAAATTTTGGCCCTTTGTGGGGAAGGTACCAGAGGGTATAGCCTGATATCTACCATCTCCACACCAGATCTTTTGTTAACAAAAATATTGGAATGTGTCAACTTTGAAGACAATCGGACTATTATTTCACATTTTATTACAGTTAAAATTATTTGAAATTTTGACATCTTTGTGGGGATGATACCAGAGAGAGTAGGCCCATATCTACCATCTTAACACCAGATCTTTTGTTAACAAACATGTTGGGATGTGTTAAATTTGAAATTTTATTCGAGTTATAATTATTCGAAATTTCGACTTTTTATGGGGGTAGACCATTATTGTCCATTTTCGCAATAATGCAAAAATAAGGACTTGCAAATTTGCAGCAAAATCGGTTTATTATTTCTGTGCAGTAAAATATTTTTTAAATTTCGACTTTTTATGGGAAAGGTACCAGAAGGAGTGGACCGATATTGTCAGATTTTTATCAGATTTTTATTTCTGTGCAGTAAAATATTTTTTAAATTTCGACTTTTTATGGGAAAGGTACCAGAAGTGGTGGACCGATATTGCCCATCTCCGAACTCGATCTAATTTGGATAACAATATTTTGTTAACAAAAATATAGAGATGCGTAAAATTTGAAAAGAGTGAGATGTTCATTTCGCGTTTTACGAGCTGCATGGTTATTCAAAATTATGATCCGTTGTGGGGTTATGCACCAGAAGAAGCATACCGATATGTCCCATCTTCACACCAGATATTTTGTTAACAAAAATATTGGAATATGCGAAATTTGAAGACAATCGGATATTATTAGAATTATAACTATTTAAAATTTTGAGCCTTTGTGGGGGAGGTACTTGATGGAGTGAAACGATATGGTCCATTTTAGCACCAAAGCTAGCAATGGCAAAAATATTGGGATGTTCAAAGTTTGCACAACATCGAATGATTCTTATTCTTTCTAGGAGGTAAGTTACTTCATTTGAAAATTTTGCCCTCTTCTTTGGAAGGTTCCAGAAGAATTTGATCGATTTTGCCCATATCCGAACTCGATCTAAGTTTGAAAATAATATTACGACGTACCAAGTTTGGACCAAATCGGATACTTCCTTTGAAAGTTACGATGCACACTAGCTAGACAGATGGGCGGACGGTCGTACGAACATCGCTAGATCGAATCCAAATGTCCGGAAACGGATTTGGTCCAAAGAGGCCTAAGGTCTAAACTCGTTATTTCGACGAGGCACGTTTTGGCCGATTTGTAGTCATATGGCTGAGGGTGTAAAAATGGATAAAATTGTGTTTCCTTAAATAAAAATGTTAGTATTAAAATCAAACCCAATAAAATATTTAAAGTTGCATGAATAGAAGCCTTGAAAATAGAAAATCTAATAGTTTGAAAAAAATATTTTTCTTCACGGCCCAAAATTTTCTCAAAATTTTTAAAGCATTTATCCCTTTTTCTTTTACTAAACTATATTTGCTAGTAATAATTTCTTCAAATAAAAATAATATCAAATAATATTGGAAATAGACCAATTATTTCATGCAAAAACAAATACTTAATTATCTAATCACATACACACACCGATCTATTTACTTTGTCAAAAAAACATGAACACATTTAAGTAAATAAATGTTAACACATCAATATATATATATATGTAAAAAAAATATTTATATAGAATTAAATTCGCCCACCAGCAGCCACAAAAGTTTTCCGTAAACATTTTATTGATTTTTTTTTGGGTTTATAAGAATTATTTTTTTTTGTTCAATCAAAATAAGAAATAGATCATTAGTATTTAAATTTATTTACTTTCTTTGTTTGATTTTTTTTTTTTTTGGTTTTTATAAAATGTCTCTTTCATTTTTAAATACATGTTTGCTTTATTTTATAAAAGCAAGTTAGGTTTTTTGTTTTCATAAAATGTTTTTTTTTTTCTCATTTATTATATTTGTTAGCTATTTACAAAATTTCTTTTATCTATAGTTAAAATTGAGAGGATAATTACAGGGTATAAGCAATAAATTGCAGCTTTATAAATTCTACTTTATTTGTTGGGGATTAAGGGACGACTTTTATGTATAGTTCTTTTGTTGATTATAATGTTTATTCCAAATTGTTAAGCACTGCGTTTTTTTTTTTTTTTTTTTTTTTGTAATATATCACATTATATGTAGAAAAAAAACCGGGCTTTGGCATAATAAATTATTGAAAAGTTTCGTATTTGAAAACAAAATTTTAATTGAAGACGTGTTTTGATATATAACTCTTATATATATCTGCGGCCGATTTCAATTTTATTGTACATGAAATGCTTACTATCTGATCATATTGAAAACGACCAATTTTAAACTAGAAGTACGTTTATCCATTTAGGTGAAAATCACTTCAGATTTATCTATATCTCCAATATTTTGTTGTTGCAAAATGGTCAGGTTGAATCCCTTATTGTTGTTTTTATAAAATCAACGTTTGTTTATTAGTGGCCACCAATCCTCATCAGTTTCCTTGTTTTTTTGTCTGGGATATTCTCCACGGAAGTTATTTTAGAAATAACTTCTATGACAAAAAAAATCGAATAGATAAGTTTCA